GCCCTAGATAGATGTAGAAGACCTATCCAACACACCTAACACCTGCAGACCTTACGCCCGGACCTTCAGCCTCGGTTGAACAACAGTCCTTCATTTGTTGTTGTGAAGCACTGCAAAGGTCGCCTGACATCTTGGCCCCTAGTTTAGCGCAGCATCTCTGCGCAGCCGGGGTGTTATCATCCCGTTTCCCCGGGGTCACAGAAAGACAGGTACAAGCACCCGTCACTAAGCTTGCAATTTGCAAGAGTAGGAGACCGACAACAGGGGCGTAGAACTTCATTTTGACGTTTGTAGGAGAATCTAGAAACACGTAAGTGATTGACACGGTCTAGGGTTACGTCACCGAACGCTTACATGAAGAATTGTTCTTTGGTGTGTTCAGGGAACCTTGGGGATTGGCGTAGGCAATTGACTGATGAGTGAGTGAGCTGAGTTGAGTAAGTGATTTCAAACGTGGGACATTCAAGCCTTACGACTTGCTTTTATAAAAGATGCTGGAAGTGAATATTTCTCTGAATACACTATTGAAGTATATACTATAGTCATAATAAGTACCGCCTATGATGGGAGATTTGTGATAAGCTGTCTTCTGCCTAAGTGAAACTGTCTCCTAACTTATCCCATCGGCTGCCGTAAAACTGGGTCATCATATTGGGAGGCCTTTCTGGCGTCAAGTGGAAGCCGGTGGGATAAGGAGAGTTGCAACCGGCGGCCCCGGCCTTGTTTGAGGTATTATTATCATTCTAGGCCAACCATGCGGCAAAGCAAAGCCCCCAAATCTTGCGAGTAAGACTGAATAATTGAAGGATCTGGAAGCCTTCAGCTTGAGAACCTTATTTTGAGTTCATCTGGGTTGAGCTCCTCAGGGCTGAGCTGATACAAATATCGGACGTCAGCTGAGGCGAGACGAAACCGAACAGGAGTATAAAGCAACCTGAAATGAAATGGTCTGCGACAGACTGTGGAAATCAACACCATATTAATTTCGCGCGCCGGCCCGTCATGGTGCACCTCTAAACTCATGTAGCTGAACCGATATCGACAGTTGAGAGGAGCGCGTCAAGACAGCTACACACTGGCTTACTATTTGTGACCACATGCATGTTTGACTCAACAATTTCACTCACGGGATTCGCAAGAGAGAAACTAGATGGCTAGATGGCTAGATGGCCTTGTCATTAGCGAAGAGAACTCTAATCGGCCGGTATTCACCGGCGATAGCAGTGGGGACGAACGATCCAACACTTTGATTCTGTGAGATAGTAGCCATCTGGAATCTTTTAGAAGTTGAATATGGTGGTGATGTTGAAGTATCATGTTTTTAATTGAAGCTGTCGTCGAAGCTGTGTTGGTGATACAAAATGCTGCATGCGGCCTGCGCTGCTGACGGTGTCGGTGGTCATGTGCTCATTTGAGCCCGTAGCAGGCTCATTGTACGCCGGGTTTGCATGTTGCCGTAGGTGATGTTTAAGTTGATGCGGTGAGAGATGTTAATGATGATGCCGATTTCGCAACAGCTAATGACGAGGTGGTCGCCGCTGTTGATGCCCGCTCAGTCTCACCAGAAGTATTCGTTGTTCGGCCTGGTTAAGTACGCAACACACAAGCCACAGCAGGCGGGGTTCCCAAATCTTCGAATAGAGACCAAACCTTGTAGCAGACCCCAGTGAGAAGGTCGACGCGAGACAGTACTGCGAGAGAGGCGGTAGCGGACGGGCATTGGGCCAGAGGTGTGGCTTCCCCAAATGTTGCCGCCTCGAGTGGTCGTCGCAGGAAGACTCGCTTGCGCGTTCAGGGTGAATTCTGTCGCTCTTGTCGTGGTTGGGGTCGTGGCAGAGTTTGTAGCTCTGGTCTGCAGGTACAAGATTGTCATAATTTGTGTTTTGAGTGATGCCACCGTAGTCAAACTGCCTTAAAACTTGCCGCTGGCATTAAAACCCTGCATACCAACCCCTTGAGACTTCAAGACCGCTGAAACGCTGTGGTACTTTCACAACAGATATAAGTAAATACTCACACCAATTGGAACGAGAGCGTCAGCTCTTGTGGACGAAAAGGACACATTTGCGATAGGTCCGGACGGCCTTTCTATATGGATTCGTATCCGCTTGTTGGTACTTAATATGAAGTGCTAGAAGTTTACCAGTGCAGCCACCAAACTACCTATCGTGAGAATTTTGGCTCAAGCCAAGCATTTGCTTGGCTCATCCTACTCTGTAGACCCATCCGTCATACTCAGCTCTCCGTAACATCTTCTGTCATCTCATCCTCTGAGAGAACCACACAAGAAAATTCCTCGTCTGATTCAATCTCGTGTACTCTCTCCAGACAAACCCCGAGATCTAAAAGAGCCTGTCTACTCTTTCTCGACATCATAGGCCTTTTCCGCTCGAACTTGTCCATTCGATCGTCCCAGAAATACCAAAACTCTTCAAAATCTTCGAAATCTTCAAGGACAGCCCCGAACTCCGTCATTAATTGTTCCAAATCCTTCGCCAAATATCTATCCTCCCCTGCATCGCCATCGTAGAAACCCTCTCCTCGTATCTCGGCGACTTCGGAAGGTTCCATCACTGAAACAAGGCTAAATCGCCTTGCCGCGCCCCATCGAAGGTCCAGGCCATCCCATCTCGTGTCGTGATTACTATGTCTGCAACATGTGTGCCGCATACCAAGTCGTTCGAAGGTAAATACTCGAACAACACTTGCCAGAACATCTTGATCTTCTCCACAAAGGATATATGAAAGCTTTTCTCCATTGGAATCAGAAAACCAGTCAAAGTGCTCATCTTTGTCGTCCCATATACTCAACCATCCTTTTGCGAGTGAAGATGCAGGAGTGCAACCGTTCGGTGCACAGTAGCACTGACAGGGATCATTTGGTGCATTAGAATAGATCCTGTCGGGGAGTAGAGGAAGCTGCGGGGAAAAGAGGTACTGTTCTCGTTCTGAGGTCCACTTTCCGAGAAGATATGCTAAACGGTGGATGAGCTTAAAGTCCTTCCCTTCCGGTCTCAGACCTTGGCTACCGCCCATCGACTTCACGTGGGGAATTGGGGCATAGAAGTTGGCTTGATGTTGGTCAAACCAGGCGATGAGTCTCAACGTGTCTTCCAAATCCCAGCAATAGATCATCATCAAGGGGGTGTACCCGTTTTCCATATAATCAATCTCATGGAACCCGGACTGAAAGAGTGCTTCTGCTAAGGTGTCGGTCATCACCAGCGAATGATAGATTGATCCCGGCTGCACCAGCTTCCATTCTCTCGGGACCCAAACGCCTTGATTCGTTAAAGATGTGATCACGTCATAAGCTTCTCCTTGTAATATCGCTTTTTGATCCAGCTGAAAATATTCCACATCTTCGCCGGGAAGCTGTTGCAACGCATAATCTCGCATAGATTTGCGTCGCTTTGCGAGCTCCTTGGCTAGTATCTCGCAGACTCTGGTGCTTTGACAGTTGAGAGGGATCTCAGCCTGATGTGTAAAGAAATTCGAAGTTTCTTCTAAATCGATGCTTGCGCGTTTTTCCAGTAATATCTCGACGGATTCGGCTTGTTGCCAGGCAATAGCGCATTGGATTGGGGTAAGTCCGGCTTTGTCCTCCTCGTCAATGATGTCATGACATGCTTTTTCTGCCAGCTCAAAAAGTATTCTTAAACCGTTTGGCCAGTAGACGGCAACGTGTAGTGGGGTTTGGTTGTGGTGGCCTCTCTCGAAAATAGAGTCTGACGATACGCTCATGATATGCCGAACAGATGGCTCTGACTTTCGGAACAGTGCGCAACATAGCTCCCCATAATCAAAGGCTTTTCGATCGAGATCGTTATTTTCGATGAACCGTCAAGAAAGCAGCCCGGAACACATACCTTCAAGTGAATTGGAAAGACCTCCGTAAATTGTTGAGAATACAAGCATACTACTGCGGAACGGAGGCTCATAGCTATATTCGTTTGGGTTCTCCGAATAATAGGCATCCAGACTTATCAAACCCTTCGCTACATATGAAAGAGTGTTACTAGAGTTCGGGTATCCAGGGTGGTGGTTGTCCTCCGTCCAATGGACGTTGCCGCAATTTAGCAACCATCGTAATGGTGTACTGGGGCTACATTAGTACTCTCGGTGGAATCATGATATTGGCCGCAACTAACCCGAACTCTCCAGTCCCATTTACTGGCACGCCCATATTGACCAAAGCTTCAAGGAATTGGAAATAAACATGGACCATGGGTTCGGACCACTTGCCGCGAAGGCGAGAACAGGCTATCTAGTACGTGGTTCGTGATTAGGAGGTTGCAAAATTCGAGGATTGATCTCAAATGAGACGGCCATATTGACTTACTTGCAGAATGTTCATGTCATTCGACAAGGTGTCCGTTGGCCACGCCTTTTGTTGCCGAAATAGCTCTTTCAAATCTGTTAGAATAGGCAACAACCTGCTCTCTAATTGTTTTTCGTTTTCGATCCATTTGAAGCTTCTTTTAGACAGTCTGTCTATGAGGAGAAAAGCAGGGCTACTCTTCAGGACTATCGCTCGAGCTGTGAAGTTGTACTCGATTCTGTAACAAGCGATGGAGGCAAAGCAGCTGAAAAATGTCTCCAGAACAGACTTCCCTGCCGCAACACCTCGGCTTCTTGTATCGAGGAAGGAGACAGGACATCCATCCCTGTGCTTGTTTATATTGGATCGCCGTGAAGCTGAGAGATGACGCATACTGATGGGCTTGCAAGTACATCGAAAACCTTGGAACCGCGGAAATCGTGCACCGCGATAATGCATTTGTTCAGGTTGTGATGAAGCAGCCATCATGACCACTCTTGGGTCATGTTTCTCCAGCGACCTTTCACTCTCAGTCGGAGTTGCAACGAGTCGAGTCATATCTTGCGTAGTAGTGGCAATATGTCCAAGACTTGAAGCCGTAGAGACACGATTGCCGTCTTGAGACAATGCTTGCTGTCTGAAATTGATTGATTCGAGAAAATCTGGTCTCTCGGCAGCTTCAGAACACGACGGTGACGACGGTTCCACGACTTTTAAAGCTTCAGTCAATTGGAACAGCAGGACCTGGGGCAGTTGATCGATGGCCTGTTTTATCTGCGCCAAAGGTTGGACAGCAGACAGAACTTCAGCATTTCCAGAGGTGATATTATTGCGGAGCTCAACAGTGCCATCGCTGTGTGCGTTTTAGTCAGGTCGTGAAACGCCATCATAACTTGGGAAGACTTACTAGTTTAGAAGCTGAAGTCTTAGTGAAATGTCGACCCGAAATTTCTCCATCTCAGCTTCGAGGTCTTCGAACCTTTTCTTCTGGAGCGGGTAGTGAAAGTGAGCCAGGGCAGCCTCCCAGCGCTTTCGGATTCCTTTGGGCTTAGGTCCTGGGTCTCGAGAGAACTTTGTCTTTAAAGCCCCAAAGTCCTGTATGCAAATATTACAAGCCTGGTAACATTCCTGCAGAGACCTGGAAAGCGCTGGATCGACCTCATTTTGCCCATCGAATCGACTCCTGAGCATTTCAACGAACGCCCGCAGTCTATCTGCATGCTGAATGTGAAGAGTAATATCTTCGTCCATCGACTTGAAGTCATCGTAGTAAGTCTTGAGGCTTTTGCCAAGTTCGATTCCTAGGGAGATGAGTCCGGCGACGCCGGTGGCTGCCGAGAACGGATCCATTTCCGATCATCGGCGTCGCCCCTAATTTGCATTCCTGGAACGTATTGAAGTTGGTACCAGGTCTATTTGAGCGTGAACGGAAAAGCTGACGCTAGGGAAAACACCCCCAACGTACTGAGATGATAAGATTCCCCTGGCTGGGCGGGGAAAAGCTCACGAGCATACATAAGGTGCAAAAAAGAGAAGGAAACGGACGAAGTCAAACAAACTCATTTGAGGGGTAAATATCAGGCTATGCCTTCCACGTGGGTTCAATTCATTGGTTCCGGTCCGCAAGCAGCCCACAGGCGGTCGATGTGCTGTAAGCGCCAAGTCTACTGGTTGCCTTGCCTGAATACCGAATGGCAGTCGTGGCCAATCAGTTCTTGTAAACTGCAGACATCTGCGTACTGCGTTTATAGCAGTGGCTCGCCTTTCGCTGGCGTACCATCCGTGACTGCTTTGTGTATTTGCTGGGAGATTGGCGCGCGAATCATCGCGCGGCTCGACCAAGTGGTCACGGGAAACACAAAATGAGACCACACACTCATCCAAAAAAGCAAGGGTCGTCGACTTGTTACGTCTTGTCAAGATAAAAAGCTAAGTGAGCACCAAAGGTTTGGCCCTATTACGGATTGGAAAGTGTCTTTGCATAGACATTATTTGCAAGCCCTTTTACGGACGGTACATTGGTCCTAGTGCTCCGATCGCTTTTCCCGTTTCTAAGTCTTCCAAAATGTGGTAACCCCTTCGAAATACCAACCTCCGACGTGACGTTAGATGTCAGCTATGCCCGAGGTCAAGCGTGCCGTAGCCCGTATCCTGGATGCTCGTTAAGGTGCATGATCAGGACGTTCGGAAGCCACACTCATCCCAAGTCCGGATATTTCAATTCTGCCACTTAAACTCTTTGTCACAGTCTCGACCAGTAGCGGAGGCTTAGCTACTGCTATTTTTGTGCATAGTTGACATTCGACTGGCGTGTATGGTGCCTCAAGCTCCTTAAATACAGTGTCAGGAACCAGCAAAGCCTCAGCTGGAATCGGAGATCAGCCCATTAGCATTTGCAACTGCAGGTTTCTGTCGCTGTAACTTTCCATATTGGCCCTGATTTGTGGTCATGCGCTTTCATGAGTTTTGGGGATTTAGTGTTGTAAATGTGGTGCAAATGCGAACAACTCTTGCTCCACCCGGACGCAATGTTGCCGGTAGTCAGCGTGGATGATAGATGCGATGCTCAATTCCTCTAGTATACGGTATCCGAACTTGAATTAATTTATTAAACATGCATCGTTCTAAATTCAAGCCGTGATATAAGCCAGAAAACCCTCGATCAACACAGCACACCGCCTGGATGGGAGGCCGCCGCTGCATGCAAAGCAGCTAGCCACACCTCTAGATCAGCAGGCGTCTTTTGCGCATGAGCCGCTCATTTGAGAACCCTGGAATACTTCTGAGACAAAAGAACTTCGTATTGAGAACCAGTGGCATCGAGCTGGGCCTTGTGTGTATGGCCCGGACAGGTTCCGCTGCAAGCTCGCGGCGCAGCAGCCACTCATGTGGCTCTGTCATTCGGAGTCGCTACTACAAAAGGAACAACACCTCCTGAATGTTTCGAAATCCAAACTTTGAGGACCATAGGCTTGCAAAAAAAGATATCGACGTGACAAACCTCGCCCATGCCACCGACCTAGTTGATACCCCTGCATCCCCCTGCATGTCAATGATGGGCAACAAGGCTGAATTGAATTCTGTGCATCATAATGCCTAGGCGTTTTCTTGGGACGAGGTCCTATCAAATCCGAAGATGCGGGCAGCCTGAGACGAACGGAATTTGTGACGTAGCATAGGTATCAAGGTAAACAGTCTTCACACAAACAGTTACCCTACAACTGAAGAGCGGCCGGGTACTGATCAAAAGCCTTTTCATTGAAAACGACTCATGGTCTACGGGAAAGTCACTATCTTAGCTGCAGCTTACCTAACAATGACATGTTCTTCGGCCAAATATCGAAATTGTACTTTGTCGGAAAGGCGAATTGATCGATATAGTATCCCTCAACATACCAGGCTGACTTGAGAGCTGCAGTTGCAGGGGAGGAAGCAGCTCGAACCTGCACATTTCCTTGGCCTGCAACCACTCGAAACGACCCGCCCATGCCAGGCTGCCATGGCTGTGCTGCAGCGATAGTCAAGTCGTTCGGCCGTCTATGACGGCCGCACCAACGTGCGTGAGCGATTCATTCATGCATTGCGGTATTTGACCAAATGGCCAGCCTCCCACAGTTTCTTAATGCGTTTTTATTGGGTGAGCCTTCGATCCGCGGAGGCCAGCCCACGAGCACGCTACGACCGTTGAAGAGGGGCCGCTCCAGGACCTTTAAAAGCAGAAGTTCATTGACTTTATCATCTGCCATATACTGGTGTATCCAGCCCCAGTTGCTTTCGTGCTTATCCCCGTATTTGATTCCAACCCGTACCTTCTCATCATGCCAACACTTACGAATCAAACCGCTATTCCTAGCGTTACTGCCCTACGGGCACAGCTCGGCTACGGCGATGCAAAGAAAGAGATGTTCACCAAATTTAGGAACGCCATGGCATCCTCTCGAGACGTCTTCGTGAGTGATGGAGGACTTAATGGTAAAGATCTCATTGACTGGAAATCTCGTGACCAACAGAACGCGCTGTCGAAGATGGTTCAATCCTTCCTAGACCGTGACGGGAATCCACAAAGGTTTTGGCCAGATGATGGTGCACTTGATACCACAAAGCTCAGATTTTCAACGGATCAGAATAGGTGAGTGCAACGAGACCCCTCGGGAGAGAGGAACTTCATTTTAACCCGTTTTCAGAATCAAGGACATTTTGCGACAACTCTTTTGGCGACTCAATCTTCAAGACCATCGCAACAACAAAAGTCGGAACCCACTGAGTAAAGGAAATGACGTAGGCAAGGGACTTGAATCCGGGCTCCATCGTAGTGACCCCATAGACGTGGAGAGCCACGAGGGTGAAAAACCGCCCGGTCTGAGGTAGGCGATGAATGATGAAGTCTTGCTGTTGTATGAAGCTTACATAGGGCCAATAGATCGGCCAGAGAGCGAAGTCACACCTTGAGAGCGGATCCAGTTGACGAGGGCCCGAATGAGTCAGAACTTGCCGATGATGCCTCTAGTCATTCGGTCATCTCAAGAGATACGTATCTGGTACCACAGAACCCTGATCTCAGTGCTCAGGCTCCAGTTGTAAGTCCATAATTGTAACCTGTGAATGATGTATTCAGACTACGGGAGCACCTGACGGCTGATCATGAAACAACACAAAGCAGCTTGCGCCATTTGCAGAGATGACACCGTCGACAAAAAGAGCAAGAGAAGTTGACTCGTCGTCCGCGCGCTCTGAATCGTCTGCAAAACGAGGTCGCACATCATCGACACAGGTTGCCAATCGCTCATCGACTAGACAACGAAAGCCGCGAAGAGAGCCGGAGTGGGCTACACCGGAGCAGTACTGGGCCGCCGGAGAGTCTCCAGAGTGTCCATCAAGCCTGGAGTCTACTGGAAATAACCCGGGTGTTTCAGATGGTGCTACTGTTGCAACAGCCACGTCTTCGGTTCGGCCAACTGTTGAGTATGCACCGCAAGAGGACCCCGTCAACGATTTCATCGATGAGTGGACCATGCAACAGAACGCCGACACAGAGGTCATCCTGACGACCACACATGTTCCCAAGAATCTCGCAATGTCTCCCAATACGACTAGGAAAGGAGAGGCGGCTGAGAAACCGAACATGGCATCAGAGTTCTTAAGCGTGCATCCTTCTACTAGGACTCTTATGTCCGAACCCGTTGTCCCTGAAGAAACAGCCGCCAAAGCCGGCCCTCAACACAGCGACAATGTTGAATTGAACAACGTCGACCCGAAAACTGTTGTTGCGCAGCCCAAATTTACCTACACAATTATGACACACTATCCGAAATACAGAGAGCGACACTGGAAGCCAAAAAGAGGTTTCGGGCAAAAGACGCTTTCTGAACTACTGACTGAGTTTCCAGCATGGGTACAGGTGTCTGACGTGGAGTCACTGCAATTCCTCATGGAGACCTCAAATACAGAGGTAGAGAATGTCATAGAACTAGGACAAGAGAAGCAGTTCGAGGAGATGAAGGCGAAGTTTGAAAAGGCCATTCGTATGGAAATCGCCAGGGCAGCGAACAGCGGCCAAGTACCAGTGAAAATCAGCATAGACGTGCGGACCGGGAGAGACCCACAAGAGGAGGAGATGGACATTGAAAACATCAGGTTCTCATGGTTCTGATCGCAGGCTTGGGGACTCATTATCCTTTTTGAACCCGTAGGTACGGATGCTGATGAATACATGGGCAGCAAGGTTCACTTCAGGTTGAAAGATCTAGCGACGTAATTTGGAATATGCTGGCCTTCCGCGTGAAGACTTTACGGGTTAGGATTATGTAGGATCTTGTTTTCTGATCGCAAAGTCAAACATTTCATTTGAGTCACTTCCAGTTTACTGCCCAGATTACTATTTAGGACGAACGTACATCAATATCAACACGGCCGTCGTCGACAGCGATGCTGCACGGGAGTGGACGATTCGTCAATGGCCGAAATTCTGGGAATCAAATCTCTGGCTCTTTATCCCAGGGCCGAGAGTCTGAAATTGAGACTGTGTGCTTCTTGTACCTGCCAGAGAGATCGTCTGAATTGTAGTTCACGGGCTCCAAGATATCTTACAATACTTTTCAGTCTGCGGTTCTGAATACAGAAAGTGTAATAAACTATCACCACGCAGTATGACCACCATCGATAACAAGCTGGCTTCCCGTCATGAAAGTGCTAGCATTGCTCATCAGGAATAGACCAGCACCCTTGAACTCAGTCGTTTCGGCGAGTCGACCGAACATGTTGTGGCCCTCCCACTCCTCCTTCAAACCCGGAACTTCTCTGAAGTTCTGCTCAACCATCGGCGTCAAGATGTGGCCGGGTGAAATACAATTGACTCGGATGCCTCCAGAGCCATCTTTCCTCATCGGACTCCATTCCATTGCCAGATTTCGTGCAAGCTGTATTACTGCGGCCTTCGAAGAGTTATATGCAGGCGAAAGCATGCCGATATTTGCGACGAGTCCCGACATGCTTGCGATCAGGCAGATGCTGCCGTGGTTCTTGTACTTGAACATGTTCCGGGCCGCGGACTGCGCAGTCATGAAGACGCCGGTGTAATTAACCGCAAGCATCTTTTCGATCTGGGGAACTGTGTAATCCATGGCGCTCTCGATTTGCATGATTCCAGCAGCAGCTATTACGCCATCCAGTCTCTGGTTCTTGTCGGCGATCTCGGTGATGACCTTGTCGAGGCCCTCGGTATCCACAACATCAGCTTGTCTGTAGTGCAGCGATCCGCCCCATTCCGGAACGACACGTTTCAATGCTTCTGCATAGTCTTCGTGGGGCCTTTCTTGCTGATCAAGACAGTAAACTGAGACATCGTCAGATACCCATTACTGCAAAGTCATGCTGACATCACTGGACCTACCCTTGCCGCCAGCTTCTACTAGCGCCTCTGCCAGGCTCAAGCCAAGACCCTGCGCCCCACCAGTCACGATAAACGTGCGGCCTTTCAGATCAAAGTCGGAAAAGCGGCCGCTGCCAAAGTTGGTACTCCGAGGCGGCTTGATCTCGGTTGCGGGATGGTCGGTTGGCTTGGGGTTCTTGGGCTTAGCGTGATTCCGGGATTGCGTGCTGTGAAACGGTCGGCGCGGATGCGGAGGTTGCGGTGCGGAGAACTTCCGGGTGATAGCTGTCGGTGCGACGAATGTCAGAGACGGCCCCGCATGGGCCGAGATGGCGGCGCCGCGAACGGCTCTTGCGATCAATGACATGCTGTTTTGCAATTATACGGGAATGAATAATAATATGTTCTCTTGTATCAGTCTGTAGTAAGGGCGAAATTGCTGAGGAGATTGTAGCGTAGCAAGCTGTATTTGACAAGGACAATATTAAGTACAGGCAAGGAGCAGCGTGAGCATCATGAGAGTGTGGTTGGGGGCATTTTAATAATGCACTGCTCTTTAAATTTGTGGAGAGACTTCACCGCCAAGGTAAAACAAAAAACAGGTATGCAGTTTGAAACAATTTAGTGCCGTCTGTTTGACTTCAAACTGCCCGAAAGCGAGCCGATATTCGAATTGACGTGCTTTTGTCGTCATCCCGAATCGCCGGAACCCAACAGTTGTGCGACAGGAACAACAGCTCCTGCCATGTTGTTGTGTGACGGACCAGCTATTGTTGGCAAACATCCCACGCGGTGCCACGCCGCGGTCATGTGGATGCTGTGCCAGGGGGCCGGAAGAAGTAAAGGAGCAGCAGCTCCGACGCGTTGGTTCGCCGCACGATAGGAAGGACGAGCACGGGGCCGAAGATCAGCTTGCGCAAGTTGGCAGGGCGTCGGAAATGCGGTTCAGCCACGATGGCAATCCCTGGAGATGACGCGGCCGATACTAGAGGCGAGGAAAGATGCAGATACCAAGCCACAGGTACCATACTACCCTCTGTCGATCATTGGAGTTGCCCTGAGAAAGTAACATGAGGGCCAGGAGCACGGCAAGGTCGCATGCATACTTCGTTTGACAGGCTGACTTGGTGGGATGGGAGGAAGATCGTTCAGTAATTTGCCTCTTTCGTACATGTAGGATTTACTCATAATAACGATTTGATGGAGAGCAAATCGGGTCCCTTTCCCAGGCAGCCCTTCCTGGTTGTTAATAGGCGACCCAACCCTCTGATTGTCTCACTTGAGCGACCGCGAGCTCCACCGTATCCCTGGTTCGCGTGTCTACTTGTGTGTACCCCTGAGCTATTACTGTTAGACTTTCGCAATCATCCGGGAGATGCACTTGTAATTACATTTTCCATACAAACTCATACAATTTTGAGCAAGGAAATCTCTGAGAATTACATGCCGGAGAGGCTTTCGCGCGGAGCTAACCTCCGTACGATGTGGGTCCACTCGGCCCGTCTCCGCGGTCCCCCGCAGGCCAATGGCAAATTCGAGACCAGAAGTGGACGTCACTCTGGATCACGCTTGGTCAACACGATAAGATTGCCGATCAATTTTGGTGTTTTTACGTGAGCTTCAATGAAAAGACCCAAAGAAAGTATCGTGACCATTCGATTACCGCATCACACATACTTCCGCTAAACCCCGGACTTCCGACCACTGATCACCGCTAGACCTTCGTGTCCCGCGCTTCCTCTCGGGAGCCACCACGCGTGCCCACATCTTCAAGCTCAACTTGGAGCACCTTCTGAGTGTTCTTCTGCACCTTATCCTGCACTTCCTTGCCCTCAAACATGAAGCTGAGCTCTTCGAGAGTTCGGCCGTATGTCTCAGGGAAGACAAAGTAGACGGTCGCGATCTCAACAAGGATCCAAACGCAGTATACACAGTAGTACTTCCAGCCTATGCTGTCTAGGGCAATGGGATTGACGTAGGTGTTGAAGAAGACGGCGAATCTGACAGTGAGTTGCTCAACGGCAATACCCTGAGACCGGACGGTATATGGGAAAATTTCGACCATGTAGGTATATCTGCTGATGGTTAGAGAAGTCTCCGCAGTCTTTTCGGAAGGGTTTGTCATACGTGAGAGCATTCCAGCCGATGTTATAGAATCTTAGAGTGAGCGTTAGTTGGCTGACACTTGAGCGAGATGTTTGGGTATGTCAGCTTGACTCACGGCGAGTAAAGGTAGATGAAGACCAGAACAGGGATCGCGGCTGCTTTAGATCCATCGATTGCGAACCTAGCAGAGGCGATAGTCCAGACGGTGTAAACGCATGCGGTACCTGTTCGAGCCCATTAGCACGATGATCAATGTCAATGCTCACCGGCCTTTGAAGAGGTTCTTTTCTTCAACATGATTCGTGACGGTCTCGTATGTATCAAGCTTCAACTACACCGTGGACTCTGCGGAGAATTGGGAGATTTTCAAGCATGGCTCCTTACCGATAGTACAAATGAGGAACATCCTTCTACGGGGGAAGCGTGGCGCAATAAGAGCGATCGGTGTGGCGTTTATCAAACCTGTATAGTCAGTATCAATCTTGCAAAAGGAGCAGACACAAACGCGTCATCAACGATGAAGTAATTCATGAATTTCATGCTCATATTAGGGAAGGGGAACATACCCCAGCAGGTGTTACTAAGGATGATCTTCTGGACAGTTCGGTTGTCGGTGATTCCGACAAGGTTAAGAATCTTCTTCATGTAGAAAGACAGGAGGCCTGCGTATTGTTAGTACAGATTCCAGATCTGCGATTATCTCGATCATACCGTTTCCACTCCACTGGGTGAAGAAGCCGACAATGCCTGCAATCATGAAACGTCTGCGCATGGCAGCATCTCTAAAGACATCGCCCCAAGCGAACTTGCTGGCAACCGCCTTCTCTTGTTGAATGGTGGACTGGATTTGGGCGTATTCAAGACGCACAAACTCATCGCCGTTTTCGCCCTCACTGTGGTACTTCTGCAGGATTGCAAATGCTTCATCGCCTCGGTCTTTTGAGATGAGCCATCGGGGCGACTCGGGGCAGAAGGGCATGAAGCAGATCTGGCACGCGCTTGGCACTAGCTGAAGAAGACTGGGGATTCTCCATGCCCAAGTACTGGTCATTTGAAACGTGCCTTTCAGGTTGCACATCAGTACTGGATCCTACTTCGCTCGGGTACCTCAAGAGTGAGTCAGAAGCACGTACCGTATGTCACGCCTGCGGCAATAATCGCTCCTGAAGAATGCCTTGTCAGTACACCCGGGCTTTGCTGACTTCTCGTCTCCTTAATCACTTACCCACGAACCAGGAAGCGTTGAATAGACTCGTCATGATGGATCGTTCCTTGGCATATGAGAGTTCTCCCAGCAGAGAGGACGCGTTGATGATCGCGAACGGGATGCCGAAACCAAGAACCCAACGTGAGGCCAAGAACATGTCCTGGTTTCGAGAGCCAGCCTGAAGACCCGCTCCCAAAACCATGATCCATGAACCAAGGAGGATTGTGCGACGACGGCCGAGGTAGTTACTCGCAATAGGGACGAAAGGAATAGCCATGAGAGCACCGAGGGAGTACATGGCGTTGAGAAGACCGAGTCGAGAAGAATTGGGGCGACCAAAGTCTGTATAGGAATGTCAGCTGCTTCATCACGGCTGATGGTCTTGAGGCAAGAGGACGGCCTACATTCAAACCATGATTCCACGGCTTGAAGACTGTTCATCATTGAAGAGTCAAATCCGGAGGTCCACTCCACGCCGAGACCGGTCGGGATGAGGATAAGGTACAAGAACCTCAGATTCGGCTTTTTGTACCATATCTTCTTGTCGTTCTGCGCGATCCGCGTCAACTGCGGATCGACGTGTTCTTCTTTCGCGCCGACGATGGCCATGATCTGTTGCCGGTAGGTTCAAAACAGGATGAGGGGCATGGAAAGAACCCGATGGTAGTTCGTTTGAAGGGAAACATCGAGGTTCAAATACCAACCACCGTGCAGGATCTTCAGTGACCCTGGTTATCCGCGCTGGATGTGAGTTCAAGGTTCCTCCGACCGAGCCAAACCCCACGAGCGTGGTCAGACATCAGACCATCAAATCACGGTCAAGAACCGATATTGGAGTCATCTTTGCAGTTCGCCCAGCCTAGCGGGGGAATACTACCGTGGCGTGCGGGGTTGCAACCCACGCCGGGAGGGGGGACCCCCGAAACCGAAATCCGGGGAAAGTAAGACCGAGGCACGGCCGAAAACCAGGGTTCGTCGGGACGAGGAGCCAATTCGCCGGCGATTTAAACTGCCGGATACCAATAGAGGTTAGAGATGGGATGGCAGGCTAATTTGCGACCCCACGAGACTATGCTTGGCGACGTTGTGCAACGAGCAGCTTGAGCGAACTTTGTTTTTCTTACCCAACGGGTTGGTCTGAAGGTCAGCCAACATCACCTAATTATGAGATGAACTCCACTTCGAATGTGGACGGTGCCACATTGCTGCAGGAGTAGGCATCCATTAGCCGCTTGAGAGTGAGATGGCAGCGAGCAATTCCTTGGTAATGCGACGAGCAGCTACGTAGAAAGATCAACCAAGGTAGAGGCACATCAGAAGAATTAGATAGGACAAATAATCAAAAATGATTTGGATACCATCACGGAGGGTGAGATGCCTGGAAAAGCCAAAGTATTTGAACGTGGGGTTATGATGAGACAATGGACACCAATAGATCGGCGATGACATGGTAAAGGCGTGCAATATATTCAAATAAAAGAGAGCATTCTTGGCAAATGGAGTGAAATCATAGCAATACAAAGTAGCTCAAGGTGGATACCGGCATTGATGACCAATAGACCTCGATGGGTTCACCTCGATGGTTTACCTCGATGAGCTCACTGCAACCACTTGGCCATCTTCTCCAGGTCGCAGACGGCTGGGGACAAGCCAGACAAGGTCTATCAAATACGGCAGAAACTGGCTTATTTTATCACGACCGTTTGCTTGGCAATAGCCTGATGTTAACATTACTGAAGCTTGCTTTACCATCAGCTACTCGGGGAACAGCGCAAATGCTTTTGAACCTTCAAATAATATCCAATAAAAGTAATCTCGACGAGGTATAGTTAACAAAAAGAAAAGCTACGCTCCTAATGGTACAATCACGGCGCCCTTGTTTGGCTTCTCGTTCTTCACACTAAGAAGCTTGAGCAGAAGGTGCATCTGAGGGTTCTCTTCCCCTGTGACGGCCTCCAATCTCCTGATCTCAGCCTCGATCTCGTCTTCCAACTTATTCAACAGCTCCCAACAGGCATCGAAGCTTCCTGCTTCTTGCAGGTACTCGATAATCTGAACCTTTCCAACGCTGGGCATCGGACCTGAACATCCAGTCCTCTGCCTGAAGAGGCCCATAATCCGGTCGCGATACTTGGGGCTGTTCTCGAGGCAGTGGATGATGAGGTACGAGAACTTGCCCTCGTCAAGATCCTCACACCACCCCTTCTGGTTGCTGTATTCCCGAGAATTGAGGTTGAGGTAGTCGTCTCGGACCTGGAAGAAGCGGCTGACCATGGACACAAGATCATCGCAGACAAACTCTTCATTTGACTCTGGATGGCAGAGGGCGCGCATCATCCTCACCAACATCCGGAAGAGTCCGCCGGTCTTGAGGTCAATCATGCTAAAGTACTCCTCCTCTGTCGGCCATTTAAGATTATACTTCCAGTACAGATCCCAGCTTTGACCGACATGCAGGTCATCTAGCTCCTCAAGGAGCACCTTCATCAAGGCGGCGTTGCCAGTAGCATGGACCTCTTGCACGACACGCACGTACAAGAAGGTGGCACTATTGATGGACTGGGCTTCGCCAAAGATCAAATGTGTCGCCGTCTTGCCGCGGCGCATGGGCGAATCGTCTTGGATGTCGTCAAGTATCAACGACGAGTTGTGGAGAAGATCGATGACACGCTTGACTACCGCCAGTTGTGCAGATGGGACCTGACACCATTGGTTCATGGCATCAATTAGGGACGATCGAACGCCTTTTGACGGCATGCCGCTGACGTAGTCGATGGGCTCGTTGATTGCCGCCGGGCCCAATTTCGGGACGTCGAAGTAACGCTTTCTAAAGTCGTCTGAATGTGAGCTCTGGCTCGTAAGTTCAGTACCGCTTCCCGAATTCTCGTCCATTGAATTCTCGCTTTCGGTGCTGGCAACACTTTCAGCAGAACCTTTCAGGGTCATCTCCTCGAACTTGACCTCTACAGGAACAACGGATGACCCGGGCTTGTCCGTTGGCAGGTGATATCGAGGGGAGTTGGCGCTCCAGAAACTGACACCAGCCGCCATCGAGCCTGCAAGTTCGACTCGCTTGCGCAGGTAAAGCCGCGCTGAAGGGTGGCTTTGGTAGAACTGCGCTCTCAGCTGAGAGTACTCAGCCTCGTACCCCAGAATGAGGTTTTTGATGCGATCCTTGCCTTCCTCGGCCGTGACGCCCTCTTTCCGCATCAAGACCGCGACGGCGTTGGTTAGCATGTCGATCTTCTGGTTCGCTTGGAAGTACTCGATATCCCAACTCCAGTAGTCATTGTTGAGCATGGCGGCCTTCTCAGCAGCCCATACAATGGGCCGGATAAGCTTCTCCTCATCATCTGAGAGCTTTTCTCCAAGCCCGAAGACAGTTTTCGTCCAGTAGATGCTGCTCATGTTAGCGACACAATCCCAATACCGGGGCACGAAGACTTACTCAAGGCCTGCACTAAGCCTTCTGAAGTGAAGGTAGTCCTCCATCGTTTCCCACTCCACACCAGCTGCTAGAGGAGTCCAGCCAGCTTTGCAGCTCTTGACGAGGTCCAAGCCAAGGGCTGAGTCTAACCTCATGAAGTCCAGCATCACACGAGCAACCAGCTTCTTCTTCTTCATGGAATCCAAATCATGGTCGCGTTGGGGTGTCTCTCCAAGCGAATCGGTCATGGCTCCTGAGAAGCCGGCCCATTGCTCTTGAGCGACCTTGTCGTTCTCAACCTCTTCGGTTGCATCTGATTTCTTAAGTCAGTAAACCTTCTCGAAATGGAAAGCTGACAGACATACCGTCGATCAAGAAGAAAAGATCCGTAAGATAAGATATGGAGTCCAAGCGTTCAGGAATGGTTTCGCAGTAGATCAAAGAGCAGAAGCTGCCCACTGGGGAGAATGACACTCTATTCGGGTCAATGTTTTGGTTACCGGTGTGCTCTGCCCAGTCCTTGAGCACGCGAGAGGACGCAGCATTTGCGAGATCGTCGCGGCTGTTGATTCTGACTGGCAAAGTTGTGAAACACCCAGTCTTCTTGACCGTCTCCGGGTCAATAGGAATTGAATATTTCCACATTTCTTCGGCCATCTTTTAATGAGTTTAGTAAGAAGACAAAGGATTGGTGGTAGCGAAAGAGGGCAATGGAGCAATGGACTCTGGGGATCGATCTTTTGCTGGAGTGCAAGGCCTTTGTATTTTCACACTTCAGTGTCTCGATGTCACTGTTGTATTTACGAGCAGCGATGCGCCCTCTTCATATACCCCATGGGTGGCGATATACGTTTCTCCGTTGGCCATTCCAGCCCTCGCGATACGACAGTCAAAAAGGTGTACCCGTGGTGAAAAAGAACTTAGAAGAGAAGGGATTTACAAGGAACGACCAGTGTGCTCTGCGCCGAGGTACAATATACAGCAAGGTGCAAATATGGAAACGGACCAAGCAACGCTAATAGACATAACCCAAGGTGTGAACACAGAAGTACTAAACTCAGTACTGAAAAGACACAGAGGTCTGCAGAGAGACATAAGACGAGGTAAACAAGGTACAAATGACTTTGCACATTGGGTATTATGGGGCATGTATATGCCGTCTCTCCCGCCCAGGCTTGTAAAGTATGGAACTCGACTAGATATCACGGCATTTCCCGAAGAATCGGGACAGATTCTCATATGACTCAAGCACCATGAACGCGATATCCACGACAGGAGATCAAAGCACTCGTCGAGGGGCTTAGTAATGACTCGCGCACCACACGTTGACCTTTAGCGGAAAGATTACTCGCTGAAATTCTGCCCTGCTAGAGTCCGTTCACGAGCCTCAACTTCAACACCAGGGGTCCATCATGTGAATTATCACGACCTCGACTGGAGAAGCTGGGGTGTTTACGGGTCAACCGTTCAATTGACGATGCATGACCCCTGAGTTGCCCCTTGCTATCAAGGAGACACTGCAGGCGCACATTCCCAATCTGGGGTTGATAGCAGTCGCACTTAGAGACAAATTCCCCAGAAAATACTCCGCCTTACAGGGCACACGATTAAGTTCGTGCTCACTTGAAGCTTGTGCTGACCTCCTCTTGGCATCCTGTGAGTGTGTAGGGCCGATGTGACCAATTGGCCATACTACACGCGAGAAGCGTACCACACGGGGACCCCGAATGTTTGTGCCCACTTATTTTACCGCCATTCACGCTCGACCATATCCAAGAACGGGCGTCGTTCGCCGGCAGTTCACCACGTGGGATATATCAAAAGACTGGCGCTCTGAAGAACGCAGTTTGTCGATTCATCAACCTTGCCCGGCTACGCCTGATCGGCACGTTTCTGCCCAAATGGGTCGGCCGCATTTGACAGTCTCGATAAGTGGGATTCCGCAAGCCTACGGATTGTTCCGCAACTCATGGGAACCTAGAGCAACATCAAATGCCGATTTTCCACGGCCAAGAGGTCTCCTGGGCATTGGAACCTAGCCCTTTAATATCAATGATTCTACAGAATAGCAACAAGTTTCTTTGCCATCTTGGCCATTGCATATTTCCCCGTCAGTGTCACACGGCAGTCAAAAAGGTGCGCCACAGGCGGCAAACTGTGAAAAAAGAAGGTTGGAAGGGAATAAGGATAGCAACTAGCCGCGTGCACATAGAAAATCGGACACCGAAGGTGAAATCGGCGCAGATCTAACCGCTCACTAGGTGTTGGACGCTCATTTAGCAATGGGTTCTATGTGGCAACTGGCCGTCTGCGCCGTAAGTTACGACCCTTTGCATTAGTCTTGACTAACCAGGAGCAGTTTGTTGCCTATCGACTCTCCATCGTTCTCTACAATCTTTTCATCCATCCCTTGAAATCTTTCCCTGGCCCATCGCATTACGCGGTCTCCTGGCTGCCAAAGTTTTACCGTCAAGTCTACAAGGCTGACTACTGGAGGCATGCCAAAGCCCTTCACGAGAAATATGGCCCAGTCGTGAGGGTCGGGCCCAACGAGCTTTCGTTTTCATCGGCCCAAGCCCTGGATGATATCTACGGTGTCAAGACCAAAGGCAAGCTTGAGTTCCCCAAGGACGCAGTCTTCTATGATGTTCGGGGCACGCCACTCAATGACTCCATGATCTCGGCCGACCAACCCACACATCGCGCGTTGCGTCGCCAAGTCGCACCCGCCTTCTCGGAAAAGGCTCTCAAGGCCCAGGAACCCATCATCCAGAGATACGCCGACATGATGATCTCGGAGCTCCGCGATAGGGTCCAGGAAGACGTCGACATTGTTGACTGGGTCACTTTCGCTACTGCCGACGTGATGGCCGACCTGTCTACCGGCGAGTCGCTGTACTGCATGGAGAAGGGAGAGATGGATCCCTTTGTCGACATGATCTTGAATGTCTCCCCCTTTATTGGCCTTCTACAGCTGTTCAATAGGCTGCCCTTGACAAGACTCCTGTACAAGATGGTGTCAAGTCAGAAGGGCCTGAAGACGTGGCTTGAGACGGTAGACATCGTCGCGCAGAAAGCCGAAAAGCGGGAGAAGATGGGCAACGATCGGCCCGACTTCATGACGATGATCTGGGCGGAGAACGACGACCGAGAGTCATGGACCAGGGATAAGATCATCAACTTTGCTCAGCTTCTTTTCTTCGCCGGAAGTGAGACGTCAGCCACGACTTTGTCCGTGGTCATGTTCCATCTCCTGACTACTCCTCACGCCTACAAGAGGTTGACTGACGAGATTCGAACAATCGAAAGTGACGAAGAGATCACTATCTCCAGACTTGCGACAATGGAGTATTTGACAGCCTGCATCGATGAAGGCATGCGCATGCGTCCTGTTGTTGCTGCAGTCATCCCAAGAGTTGGACCGCCTGGTGGAGGCATGGTGGATGGACACTACATACCTGAGGGGGTAAGTGGCCTGCAATTCCGTTCATACTTCCAAGCTAATCAACATGGTTAGACTACTGTGGGTGTACCGCAATGGGCAACTCATCACATGGACTCCAACTTCTTTGAGGCCAACTCCTACCTGCCAGAGCGGTGGTTGAAGTCTTCGGCCGACGACCCCCGCTTTGCCGCAGACCAGAAGGGTGCCTGCCAACCTTTTGCTAAGGGGCCCAGAAATTGCCTGGGAAAAGGGTAAGCCATTCCACCCTTCATCCAATGAGGACACAACTGACAGCGAGTAAAACAGCTTTGCTTATGGAATGATCCGCATGTTCCTGGCGAAACTGATATGGCACTTCGATATCGAGCTTAAACCGGAAGATCGTGACTGGGACGTGAAGCCAACCTTCACTTCCGTTGTGTTCTGGGCCAAGCCCAAGATGCATGTCAAACTGACCCCAGTTCAGAGGTAGCCGAGCTAGAAATATGCTTCTTTGAAGCCCACATTCATCAACAAAAACATTTAAAGGTCCGTCCTTCAATAGGTTTACAAAAATGAGGCCAAATTCAGATGGATTGTGTTCACTGTCCTGATAATTCTACCTTCTCTATCTCATGGGGTGCCTGTCCTCCGGCAATGATTCGTCTAGCAGCCGAGTGGCTGGGCAGCATCGACCTGCATGCTTGGCAACATGCCCAGCTTTTCCATCTCCTGATAAGACTCAAAGATACTCTCCATGGTGTCAAGAAACCCGGTCCATCCAAATCTTCTGGCCTTGTTCAAGGACACGCTTCCGAAGCTGAGATAAGCAAAGTCTCCCATAAAGAAAGTATCCGGGTCTTTGAAGGGATCATGAGTGATCTTGCCTCCAGACTCCTTCATGATCGCATGCCAGGTCTCTACATTCTTCTTGTCGGCAGCCCAGTCCCGAAGAGTGAAGCTGGACTTGTATGACAGTGGGGGTCCGTAGCCCAGAGGGGTCTTCTTGCCCGACCTGCCTTCGACTGTCTTGAGTCCTGACTCGTCATCAGGGGGCGGCACCACGCCCTTCGCACCAAACCAGCGGGCCAGCTCGGCAAAGAAACGCTCCCAGGTGAACGGACCGCCGTCTTGGGTGTTGAACGCCTGGTTCGCGCAACCCTGTTCGAGGGCCGCCCACTCGCTAAGGTAACCAGTCATGCGGGCAGAGCAGTGGTAGTACTCATACTGCCACTGCTCCCAGTCTCCCCCGAATGCAAGGGGCTCTCCCTTGCGTGCTTGAATGGCAGCGTAGACAGCGAAGGACCAGAAGGTGTTCATCGATGCGTTCGACGAAGTACCGATGACAGCAGTGGGCATGATGATGTTCCACGAAGTACCGTGCTTTGCGCAGAACTCCTTCAACATGTCTTCTTGGGGGTAGTAGAAGTTGGGCTGCAGATGTCGCGGCTGCGGGTCAGACTCCAACAGCGGGGTCCGCACACGACCAATGTGCACACCGTAGTTCTTGCCGCCGGTCTGCAGAACGAACCGGCTGGGCTTGATCTCGGCGAGCTCCAGGGCCTCGAGAAAGTTCTTGAGAAGCTTAACGTTGCTTTCGACGAGGGCTTCCGCTTCAGACCAATCCTTGTGGATGTAGGAATAGAAGAAGATGTGGTCGGCCCGAACACCAGCTTGGGTCATGCTCTTGGCGATCGAAGCAGGCTCCTGCAAAAAGTCACAGGTGACAATTTCGATGCGGGACTGAGCTTCAGAGGACAGAAGAGCCATCATCTCCTCCGGAGGGGGCTTGCGAGAGAGGCAGTAGATGGTCTTCCAGCGCTTGGGGCTGTCAAGGAGAGCCCTCATGGTGTTGAAGCCAGAGATGCCATTGGCGCCGGTGATGATGGCCGTAAGTCCTTCGAGCGAGTCGTCAAAGGTCGGCAGGTTGCGGTGAATGCCGATTTGGCGGAGATGAGAAGCTGAAGAGCTCATGATGAAAGAAGCAAGCTAGTGATGTTTAAAGATGAGGAAGAAATGGTTTGAGATGCTGATGAGAATTGTTTGAGATGGCAGAACATCTCAAGCTATTTATCATTTTGCTATCCTCAGAGCTTGTTAGCTATAATCGAGCCGTCAGAAGCACCGTGTGTAGTACTAGCCCTCCCCCTTTTTGGAATTCCGGCTCCCACTACGACGCTCCGTCATCGACTTTTTGGAGTCTGCACGTCGGTACAGTGCGAACTCCTTCCGGATCGGACCCGGCCTCACAAAATCGGACAAGATGTGGAATTGACCGGTGTGGAGCAGGTCAATCGCGGCCTGAAAGGTCCACAGATGTCCGTTTCGGGCCAGTGGCAGAGCGGCGAAGGTGCATTTTTGGCGCCGGGCCAAGGCACGACGCCCTCAACGGCCCTCACAGTGCTATTGGACAATTATGTGGGGCGGCCCCTATTCCATCCAGTCTTTGAAGAGAATCAGAGACCGACCTTGCTTCGCGCCGGGACTATCACGGAGTGGCGGCCTGCCCCGAAGTCCGTGTCGCGCGTTGAATTGGTAGAAATGATGTGAGATGTGATTTTGGAAAGGCTTTCAACTTGGTCTTGAGGGGCTTGACGTATCAGGTTGAGTTGAGGTAACTCAAGCCTACATGTAAGGGGCGCCATCATGATCCATACCATAGTACAGGAGCTTGAAAGCCACAAAGAATAATAGCCAAGGTTATGGCAGAAACATGACGATCACGAAAAAAGTTGTTTGAAATTAACCGTGATGTGTTACACAACCTTGCTTTTTCTTGATTCCCCAGCAGGACATCATGACGGCACCCCGCCGATTATCACAATTCTGCAGTCTGTAGACGACTGTACACTCTCGGCCATGCACTGCGATCTGATGATGCAACGTAAACTTGAGCAGACTAGGGTTTTGCGATTGCGAATGTGCTTGCTCATCTCCCTTGAACGCTCGGTTAGCTGATAGCCGCGGAGCCCTGTAGTGGGATAGCCGTGAGTATCCACTGCGAGTGTATCTCTTTTGAAGCAAGTCCTCAGGAGGCAAAACTTCACTGTTAATACCTCACCGCTTCCTAAAAGATTTACGGTCTGCTAATACTAGATTGATGGTTAAGCCTATTTGCCCCGGCCGGACTAGACATTGTACTGTAACTACTTGGGGACACTTGGCTTTTTGGCTCTGCATGCTGACGCGGCCACCAGTGGTTTTAAATCTGCCCATGCCTCGTCTAACAAATTCGCCATAGCTCAAGGTAGGATTTTAGAGGACTCCATGTTCCTCATCGCGCGTTTTCGCTTCGCCAAGCTGGTTGCTTGACTCAGGATGACTGCTACCGAGGACCGAGGCAAGCACACTTTACATACTCTTGAGCCGGGGTATGTTATCACGGGCAACGCCACCATGAGATTCTGTGGTATTATCCTGAAGATAACATACGGACAAGCTCCTAGTATCAAAGGATTACCAGCAAATCCTTAGCTTGAAGCGTTGAGATCCAAGGATGGTAGAACCTGGTTGCCTTTCGTTAGCAATTGCCGTACACTATGAAGTGGGTGCAGCACTTTACTCTTCAAATAAGCCCATTACGGTCACGCAACAGCAGCAACTTGTTTAATGCCTGGTGTCAATAAGAAAAGAACAGAGAGAGCGGTGTTGCACTGTTCATGAATCATGGAGGATGTTGAAAAGATTAGGTATGATTGCAGTCCTTCATTCACTCCGCGTTGCGCCTGGTATACACAAGAATCTTTACCTTGGATGATCGCGCCCTATCTCACCCGGCTTCTGATCGATGGCCTCTGGATAATTAATGTAAATATCAAACTTGCAAAAGTACTCGTATAATCCCTTCATGATTGCTTTTGGTCTTGATCCAATTGTTGTTTAATGTGTAACATCCCAGCTCGAATCGAAGTATTGAGATGGCACCGTTGATCTACATTTGAGCTAAAGCAGTTGGCAGGGCTATAGACGGGAGAAAAGGTAGTTCTCATATCGCAGTGCAGCTCGGTAAGACACCTTCATTTAGATCTGATTTTTGCTTTCAGACAATGGCATGATTTACGTCCTTAGGAGAGATGGGTGTTGAGGCAAGCCACCATTTTGGCCTTGCGCCACGTGTGGCGTTGCATGAGGACAAAAACGCATTCCAGGGCCAATCCTGAGCGACTCCGAGGTGCAATTTCCCTTCCTGCCACCCCTCGAAAGACTTTGGAGAATCCCTGACGTCCGTTGATTGCCGCGCAGACTGGCTCTAGTAGATTGCCGGTCCGGATATCAGACCTGGTAAGGTCTTGAAGTTCTAGACTTTCTCACGCAGTTATATGTGGCCATTGACATGCTGTATGTAGTTCATATGGTACGCGGCAAGATGTGCTGCATCTTAATGTGCGCGGCGGACACATCCGGTACTACACATGAGTGCCTGCGTTAGCCCTTAAAGTTCGAATAAGCTTCCAACTTCCATGAGGCTGACAATCAGGTTCAATATGGCAATACTCGTACCTTTTCAGCACGGGATCACCCGCCGCCGCAAGATCGCACGATCCGGGGTGAGCGGGGTGCCGGCAAAATGGGGTTTGGTGGATCTAGGAAAATTCTGCTCCAGATCACGGCATCAACCCTCGGCAGTCGACAGACTCCACCGTCTCCGAAGTTCGGAACTCGGGATCGACGTCACGTCCAGCTTTAAAGCATCTTTTCAATTGAGTTCTGCCACTGCATCTAGGCACAATTGTCACTGCAACCATTGGCGTGTAACTCAGTCTTGCAGCCGACACAATGCCATCCCACCGGCAACCCCAGCCCAAGATCATCATAGCCGGCGCCGGCATTGGTGGTCTTGCCGCGGCCCTGTCGCTCCACGCCGCCGGATTCACCGACATCCACATTTTTGAGGCTTCGTCGCAACTCACAACGCTTGGTGTCGGAATCAATGTCCAGCCTTCCGCCGTGCTGATCCTTCGCAACCTCGGCTTGATTGAAGCCCTGGAAAAGACAGGCATCAAGACCCAGGAATTGAACTTCTACAATCGCCATGGTCACCCAATTCTTAGTGAGCCAAGAGGCATTAAAGCGGGCTATGCTGTTCCGCAGCTCAGCATTCACCGAGGAGAGATCCAGATGCTGCTCTTGAGCGCAGTCAAAGAACGCTTGGGCGAGTCCGCCGTCACACTCAACCACGCCTTGACCGGCTTCTCTCAAGATGCCGAAGGTATCACAGCCGAGTTTTCACGACGAAGGGATGGTGCGCCAGCAGATCAGTCTAAAGTGACGGGAGATCTACTCATCGCTGCCGACGGCATCAACTCAACCGCGAGAAGAATTCTCTACCCGAACGAAGGACCACCACGCTTTTCTGGGCGTATGCTCTGGCGAGGCTGCTTGGAGCGTGATCCCTACTTGACTGGAGCATCAATGGTGTGGGCCGGTCATGCCGACCAGAAGTTCATCGCATACCCAATCAGCCAACGGTCAGCAGACAAAGGCAAGAGCTTGGTGAACTGGATTGCGGAACTCAGAATCAGAGACAAGGACGATGAAGACCTGACACCACCCAAAACGGACTGGACCAAGGCTGTGGACAAATCCGTCTTCGAGCGGCCTTTCCACGGATGGAAATGTGGAGGTCTCGATATGAAGAGTCTCATTGACGAGACAGAGAAGGTGTTTGAGTTCCCAATGAGTGATCGGGACCCGGTCGAGCGATGGAGTTTCGGCCGACTTACTCTTCTTGGAGATGCTGCTCACGCCATGTATCCCATTGGTTCGAACGGTGCATCCCAGGCCATCATCGACGCGGAGACTTTGGCAAGAACTCTTACCGAGAGTGTCGGTGATATTGAGGCAGCTCTGAAAGCCTACGAAACAGAGAGGCTCCCGGCCACGGCTAGAATCATCATGGCAAACCGCGCCAATGGCCCCGACCACGTTCTTCAACTATGTGAAGAACGAGCACCAGATGGTTTTGAGAACGTCTACGACGTGGTCCCAAAGGAAGAATTGGAGAGTATCGGTAAAGTGTACAAGCAGGTCGCCGGTTTCGAGATGGAAAGCGTCAACAAGAAAGCGAAAGAGACAGCTGAAATGAGTCAAGAGCTGGGGCTGAGCAGTCCGAAGGATTGGATTTGATAGACTTCTCAAGCCACATTCTAATAGTGTGGATGATATCAAAGAGTAAGATGCACTCTTTGATGTGAAACGCCATGCTGCTCGCCATAAATCGATTCATCAGTCAAGTACTTGTATGCATCCATGGATCTGCCATAACTCGTGCCTTCTCCTTATTGATGCCCGTCGGGAGAAACCTCGCGGCATGATAAATACCTACCGTGCGGCTTCAGTTGGTGAGTAGTCACGGTCATCTACAACAGTTCTTGCACGAATTTTCGGCACGTCGTCCTAACAGCCAAGAAGGATCGTAATAAGCCGCGATAGTACAAGCACCTTCGCAATCTTCAGGTGCGAATTCACCGGCACCCGAAAACACTCTTTGATATATTGAAGCTTCATCAGGTCCACATGCCCAATTTGCAAAGCATGTGGAGAAAACGCAGCTATTCGTTTGTTTAATTAGTTGGACTACTCTGGAGGTCTCAATCTACTCACTATTGTTTTATCGCCTCTGGGGCAGTCCTGCCGACAATCCTGTGAATGACGAGAGTCCTGCAATGAGCAATGCAAGCGATCTAGGTCAAATTTGATTAGTCCGCCATACCCGATTGCATCTGCTGGAGATCGAAAAGGGGGAGGGTGCTCACACAGCATATCATCTTTCGGCTAAAACCTGAGATATCCCATATCCAGTCGATGGATCTCTTGTCAAGCGACTCCATTGTAATATTAGTCACACCGCTTCCATCAAGGTCTCGAACGATGACATCGCTGTCATATCAGGTGTGATCAGTTAATCTGCACTGCAAGGTTCAATGCGGAATCGGATACATCTGAATCAAACCTTACTATGACTGGGGATCATTCATTGATTCCGGGCTTTCCCTCACCACGTCAATGACTGGGTTGCTGCCGATAACCATCGTACCCGTGTCTCTGGAAGATGCTTCAATCGAAGCATCACTTCAATCATGATCAGAAGTCTGTCCTTCATACAACAGAAAGCGATAGATAACTTACATTGATCGTTCCCCAAGGGCCGTAGCCACGGCCAGCTTGGTGACTTCCTCGATTTTGGGTGCTGCTCCATGAGCAACAAGCTCCTGCTGAATGCTTGTAATGAGGTCCGATTCCTTGTTGAAGTGACTGCCGTCGCTCGTGGGAATGACTCCAGCCACTGAGGTGGAAATCAATGCTGCGATCCATATGAGGATTTGCCAGGACAGATACATATTGAATTCGTCACAAACAATGACAAGAAGACCAACTTCAGAGCGAATTTGAGGCTCATATGATCTACAGACACAAATTCCTAGGTCTCTAGCCCCCAGCAGCTTCTTTAAGTATTTTGGCTATGGTTCTTTTGGGTGATCTTGGTAACACCAAGAAACTACCCAATCCCCTAGGGCTGTCATGTGTCTCAGAGACAATCCGGCTTTCCTACTGTCTTTGGTCTATAGTTGTCGTCAACATTACCACTATGAGAATGGTAGTGGGCGTTGAGACCAGCAAGGAACAACCCCCGGCTGTCGGGCACATGAGGGTTTCCATGGCGAGAGGCATGAGAGGATTGGCGACATCGTAGCAAAGAATGGGATCATGCGTGCACACCAGCCCTTGGGCGTCATATCCTATTGAACTGCTCCTAATAAGCATCCAGATCATTAGCCAATAAAAGATGGACTCTTTGTTATTTCCTTGAACTGATCATTAACTACATAGCTTCTAGTGTAACAGTTTGTCTCCTTGCGTTATTCAACGTAACACATGGAGACTCAAAGTTCGTGATCATCATCGCCCTTCCTTCGCTTATGGTTCTTTGTCAGAAGACCATTTGGAGAGATCCCCAGAGCTTACAATTACACGAGACTAGGCAGTGAAATGTGGTATCACCTTGGCATCAAATATTCCCTTGATTTTACCGCCGTATTGATAGAATCTGTTTCGTATTCCAGGCCATTTATCCTTGGTTCTATCCCCTCGCGTGTAATGGTCATGACGTGGCCGAACGCAACATAATCTGGCAAGAATAGGGAGACTCAAATGAAGCACTGAAACTTAGGCAGATTTACCAACCGCCTCAAGCATACGTCAGTCGCCAGTGAGTGTAAAATGAAAACTATCATTCACAAATGCCTGTCTTTGTTGGTTGGGTTACTCAGCCTAAGCCTGCGATACGAAATTCAATGTCCAATGCCACTCGGCTATTTTTATGACGTCTTATATGATTCTAGAGAATGCAACAATACCTCATGGAACACCGGGTCATTCGGTATCAAGCAGCTTTGTGTATCTGTATTTATGTAGGACATTCTCATCACTATCATACACATCAACCAGACGCTCGAACTCAAAGTTCATTCAACATTGCCTCAATCTTCAGCAAATACTTTCGCAGCATCACCGTATTGCCGAGATGAAATCAGCCGCGATCTTCATGATCCTAGCCGCTACTACCGTGGCCGCAATATGCTTCAGCAGCGGGATGACAGCCGAAAAGGGCAAGTTTTTGAAGGAGGAGATAAAAGAACTCAAGAAGAAGACTCGTATGGAAATTGTTTGCAACGCTATTGCGGGTGGGGGCAAAATGAAGTGGCATAAGGGGGAGCAACGTCGCTTTTGCATGCAAGAAAAGGATGGGCTGAAGTGGGATTTTATGCTCAAGGTAAGGCTGGCGCCGATGGAACCTGATCCAAAAACATTTTGTTTGTCCTACTGCACATCGATTCAATGTCCAGCTAAACCATAGTATCATCACTGACGCATTTCAGTACATCAACTGGGGAACGAACACTATCAAAACCAAAGAGTGTATGAACGGCATGGAAAAGGAGGCATACGGTTGTAAACACGGCGGGCAAACAGGCTATTGGAACTGGGAATACATGTAAGTCTTTGCCACTCTTCGAATAATTTGCCCGTGGTCCTGTACTGATAGCCTTCTTTCACGTAGGGCTGATCCTAATCAGGGCTACTGCGAGGACCTTGGCTGGTTGTGAAGAAACAGGGTGTCAGAAATACTGGAAATTTGGGTCCTTGTCGGAAACAACCTGCAAACTACCAAGAATTCATTTTGTCAATGGCAAGGTTTTTGGTGTTGCCAGTTGACCTGGGCTTCATCGTTGGGTTTGATAAGTCATGTCTTTCCTAGGTGGAATTGGAAACCAGCCAAGTCGTGGAGTCAATCTTTTGGATTTAGGCCAGGAGTGATGCATCCGTAATAGAGACCCGAGAAAAGAAAACCTAAAATTGAATCGATTGTGCATCATTTCCAAAGGCAGCGCCGGAGTAGCCCGTCCATAATACGCTGTTAACGGTTCCAAGCAGAGCGAAGATGTCGCGTTTCAGTGCGCAAGATCATCCGACCGACGGAAGAAGCTCGTGGCAGTTGGTCAAGACGCCAGATTCACATCAGGAATTGGAATTTGCAGCAGCAGGCAATGTGCTTGTATTTAACAAGAACGGCCACACCGAAAAACTGGAACCCACCTGTTTCCCCCTAAATAGCAACCTGGTGACGAAATAACATCGGTTGAAACACCGTTCCCCCGTCACCCCCAGCCCTACCATACGATTGGTCCAGCGGTGCAACGTCTTGGCAAGAATCGTGGCCGGGGCTCTCTCATTTTTTTCGTTCGATGACCGATGAGCGATAAAGGTTAATTCCCTGTCCGCATTGACACTCTGAGACGACGTCCGCTCATGCGCCTGCCAGATGACCCGGTCTCGGGGCGGCGGACGATTCCCGTCCTGCAGCCCGAAAGCCTCTGACTCGGGCAACATCCCTGCACAGATCGCGAAATGCCAGGTTTTTCTGGGAAAGACGGCAAAGCAGCTCACGTTCGGCAGATTTTGCGTTCGCCCACGCGAGATTATGGGATTCCTCTGAATTTCGTGATACGATCCCGCGATGATCTTCCAAAGAGGGGGGTGATGAGGGAAGGGCTTGGCCGCATGCACGCCTTGTGGTTGCCATCCGGTCTGCCTAACTTTAAGGGGCAGCATCCAGCATCCAGAATGCGACGTGCACAGCTTAGATGGACGTCAATGTAACCTTCCTCATCAATTTAAGCCATCATTTTTGACTATTGCGCTAGGGCGGGTTCATCACCTACCCGACCCCTGCCGGGGCTGCTCCCGCGGCCAGTTTAACAGAGACGCGAGGCGCAGTCTATCCAAAACGACGAGCTTCCCAATCCGGGGCCCCTTCCACTCTCGGCAAGTAAAACTTGACGGCGAATGTTTCTCGACACCGAACCCGAGCAAAGGACAACAGAGACAAGACCACAGGTTCTCCCCCATACTTACCTTTTCCGCCAACAGACTTCGTGCCCGCAGCAGTGACAGAACACAGCCAACTTTCTTTGCACGTCGAGTCATGAGCCTCTTTTAGTGTCTCGTCGTTCGTCCCCCACAACACGCAACAGGATATCCATGACAGCACACACACCACCACGCAGAGACACCAGTTCCCCCTTTATGAACGGCGTCTGGCGTTCTGTCATGCCCAGCTGCTGGACTCCGCCTTCCTGACACGCCACATGGAAAGGCCACCACCGCAGACGCTGAGACGAGTGACTGTGCTTCTTTTCTTCTAGAACGCCCATCCTTCTTTTTCCCCGGTTTCCTTATGTGAAACCGGGGCCAACCCTACATCCAGTCAGCACCTTTGCGTGATCATCGTCTCATCCTTACAAGTCGATCACCGGCATCTGTGTTCCATACCGGGAGCGAGACCAGGGAAGGGCCAATCTGCAGCCCAGCGGAATGGTTATGTCGGGCTTGCAGGGTCTGGCGGCCAGGCTGAAAGGGCCAAGAGTGGATAGCCAAGTCAACCGATGTTGCATATCTCGAGAGTCGTCCCCCACACGCCCGGTGGATGCGACCGTCTTACATTCCCTCTTTCCCACTTTTGCCTTCTTTTGTATCTATTTTACCTTTTGATACCCCATCGCTCGCTGCGTTGCCATTCTTGACGTTCCCTTTTCCGCTTTTTGCGTCGCGTCCTTCGTTTAACGGCTGGTCTGTTTCCTCCATCAACCCTCTTTTGACGTCTGGTACGTGCGTGGGCCTATCACCACTTTCAACCCTTTGGCTGGTCAAATGGGGCGGCCAGCAGACTACGGCCCGACGATCAATGCGGTGGTCTGGTCTCAGGTTGCGCTTGCGGCCTTCTTCCTCTCTCTGAGAGTGTACTGCAAGTTCAAGAAGCATCGAGGTCTGTGGTGGGACGATCATGTGCTCATAGCATCATGGGTGAGTTCGATCGGTATTGTAGCCGATCGTGAGCCAAGCCTGACATCGAGCAGGTCGCCCTTTTAATCACAGCGATATTGAGTTCGGTCAACGTTTCCCTCGGCTTTGGCAAGCATGTCTTCGAGATCAACCCCGTCAACTTCCCGGCGATCGGCCTCAATGGCCAGGTTTCCAGCACGATATCGATTTCGGCAGCGGTGTGGAGTAAGACTTCGTTCGCGATGACGCTTCTAAGGATCGAAGGAAAGGGTTGGACACGACATTTGATTTGGTTCGCCATCGTCAGCATGAACCTGTTGATGGCGCTCAACGCGATGGCCGGCTGGGTTCAGTGTGCACCGATCGAGAAGAACTGGCATCCTGATCTACCTGGAAAGTGCTGGGATCCAAAGGTTGCCGCGTACTACGGTGTCTTTGCTGCCGGTATGTTGCCAGTGGAAGTTTGTTGCGGAAATGATCTAACGGAAGTCTAGGATACTCCGCGTTGATGGACATCCTCCTGGCCATGCTGCCATGGAAGTTGGTTTGGGGACTCCAAATGAAGTTGAAGGAGAAGATCGGCGTTGCCATCGCTATGAGTATGGGTCTCTTGTGGGTACAATCGCTCCATTCCTCCAGACCTCCGGCTAAGATCGATCTCCAGTGCCGGTGCAACTGCGATCGTCAAGTGCACGACCATCCCCACTCTCCTCTCGGGTGACTTTACGTGTAAGTGGTCTTTCACATTATGATTTGATGCCTTCGACTGATCGATATTGCAGACGACGGCAGCGACCTTGTCATCTGGGGAACCTGCGAGTCCGGCGTAACCATCGCCGCCGCCTCCATCCCCGTCCTCCGTGTCCTCGTCCGCGATGTCGCCAGCACCGCCCGCAAATACTACGGCGGATCCACCGGTACCCGAACAGGCAGGTCTCAGATCGGCGGTGGCATCACCCGTACGAATACTGTCACAGTAACGACGACAACACGCAAGCCTTCCGTCAGAAGGAAAGACAAGCTCGCAGACGACCGAAGCGACAAGAGCATCCTCGGGGATGAGGAAGAGGTGGAGTTTGGCAAGATCGTCAAGACAAACGAGGTGGTGGTGCAGTACGACGCGAGAAGTGATTACGATGGGCATAATGAAAGTTACGAGATGGGCCGGATGGATCGCATGGACCGTATGAACCGTATGGTGTAATAAAACAACAACCCTATTCCATGATGATCGGTCTCTGGGGATCAGACCAACAGCCAAGAAACTCTGGTTCCGCCCTCGCGTAGACTATATTCTGGCGTGAGGCTTTGACATTGTGAAAACACTGTGATCCGGTTATCCCGTCGAATTTCAACTAACACACGAATCAGCTGCTTCGCCGCGGTCTAGGTTTATACATATCTTTGGAAACAATGTCCTTCCAAAAAGGTGGTCTAGCCGTGTCCTCCGGTATGAGAAACCCGTAACTATTCAGTCGCCCGCTCATTCACTCAGTGGTCAGAGTCTGGTCCCCCTCATGCTTCTCAGCTTCGCGCACCATGAGAAACAACCACAAACCCATCGCTTCGTCTTCGAATATCCAATCCTCAGGTAGCTTAGCAGCAACCTCGGAGATGATGCGCATAACTCTTCCTGTGAGGACTTGGCCCATGCCAAGTGTCACCAAAGCAGGCCATAGTTTCTGAACCGTTTGTCAGCAGATGTCACTACAAGAAGAACTGCACCAACCGCCTCCGGGCCTCTAGTAAAAGCACACATCTGTGAAGTCCAGATTCGACAGTGGTGGCAAGGGAGGAGTTGGCAAAGAATGGCATGATAACTTACCTTAGCATCCTCCGCTGCGTTTTCTCCCTCTTCTTGCGACAGGCTCTTTCTATCAAGAAACATCTTGGCCAGAAGCTCATGATCGTCCGCAGTGACGACGGACTTGAGGCCAGGCTCATCCTTCAGCTGCTCGTAAACAGCCATGAGTTCTTCCTTGCTCGAGGTGCCTTCTGCTTTCGTGTCCACACTGTTGTTAAGCTGAGTGGTTTCGGACATTGTGAACATTATAGAACCCACTTCGAGCTGACTAGAATGTTCCGACGGATTGGCTAGTACAAATATATCTTGAGATAGTGATAGATGAATGAGTAGCTACACGACCAGATAGGACTAGTGGGCTGCTCAAGACTGGCGGTGTTGGAAAACGGCAGCGCGAATGACGTTCAAGATATAATGTGTATTCCGGAAAGTACGTAGGCAATGTGTATTGTTGAAGAACAATCAATATACTCTATGGAACTCTTTCCAGAAATTTCAATCCTGCTCAGAAGCCTTTGACACTCAAACAAAACATTTCCACACAAACCACTTTGGCAGCAGGAGAAGCGAAGACAAAGGGAGACAGCACAAGGTATTGATAACTAGTCTGAACAGCTCAGAGACATCCATATACGTGTCTTACGGTCAAACAGGTTTGCTGTCAGAAAAGCATTTACGTAATTGTCCAAGAACCTGGAAGTCAACATTGTATGACTTAAACCAAAATCAAATGATACTGGCCTTCGGTCACTTGTTTGGGTCTACGAAACTTCTAGATCTGATTGGATATCGTTACTTTTTCGAAGCAACGGCCCTAATCAGGAAGCTTCCAAGAATAAACTTAAACAGAGAATTGGTGATCACGGAGAACACGATAATGTTCGGCTTGATTAAGAGACTTTTCCTTTTCCTTGTAACATATTTCATACGTTCGTACTCACTACAATTTCATCAGACACGCGAACACGTATTAGGTTGAGTTTCAGCTTCTTTGGACTTTGCGAATTCAACAAAGTACTTTTTCTCATTGATCAGGTGCCATGAAGTTTTTGAACCCTCCTGAGTACGTACTATGACAATGCATCTTCCACTGGAGGAAATCGGAAACCTACTAGTCGTCTTCCGACTACCGTGTTTAATGCTTTGCAAACATCTGGTTGCTTCTTGAACTGTCGCTAAAGAATATTCATTTTAGAACCACTCTGCGTCTCAGCTTCCCAAGCTTTCCGGACGCCATGAAAACAGGAGTAGAATAAAGAAATCAAAAGAAGAGTGAGGAAGGTGGGCAGGTATCAATTCTCAATGGCTGCCCATCCAGATCCTCCCTCTGCCGGCCGAAGTGGTGGCTCGTTAGATTCCGGGTAAAAGTGAAGGAAGGGCCCTTCGTGATTCCCGAGCCACAGCACTAACCACTGCTGCCTCATCCCCAGGTCCCGCCTTTCTACACGGCGGAAACAAGTGATGTTCTAAGATGAACTTTCCCCAACAGAACTTCAAGCAAGACGAAGCGAGGTGCAGAAAGGCCAGTACCCTGAGTAACTTCCGATGTCCCGGCAGGAATGATGGCTCATCAACTTTCGTGTGTTATTCATATGGACTACGACTGTGCAGAGTCCTTCCGACTCCTCGTCTTGAAGTTGAACATTTCATTTGACTGCACCGAGTGGCGAGATCTCAGCTTCATCGCCGTTTCCAGCCCTGCGACGGGAACCCGGTACTCCAACTCCCCACCAGGAAACGGAAGATACTCTGGCAACAGCCCAAGTTGCGTCAGCGCCGTCCCTTGATCCCAGCTAATGTGTTCGTGGTACAGCCGATCACCGCGGATGTTGACGACCGCCGCGAAGGGTATTTCTGCTGAGCGACCCGTCGGAGGGATTCCGGGAAGTCTGGGAAGGAGGTCAGCCATATCGTCCAAGTATTTCGGAGTGTGTATCTCACAGCCAGTCAATCTCCTGCTCATGGGTGAACTTGAAGATGAACTCGTCCACCACGCGGTCAATACCGATCGTCCTGCTGATAAGCTCGAGCTCGGTGTCTGCTGAGTTGTTGAAGATGAAGTTGTGGCGGTAGAAATTGGTGAGCGGGCCGCGGCCTACACCACCGGTGAGCTGAGAAAATAAGTCAGTGATCAACTTTGCGACGCTACATATCGAGGGCACCTACTGTGGGAACGTGGTTCACGTATGGCTCTTGCACCATTGTGCTCATGGTGTGCTCCACTGATCTGTCCGCAAACTCATACCACGTATGCTCATCCCAAATGGCCTCCAAATCAAATATGGGGCTCTTCATCTGCCCTTTCAGAAGTGTGAGATTGCGGGTATGAGAGAGGGCCTCGGTGTTGTAGTGGAAATGGTCCTGAAACGGCGTCGCGAACTTGTGAGACTTTGCTGCTGGGTAGAAGTACTCCATGCGGGTGCTTGAGCGCTCAGCATCTCCTTCGGACTTCCCAGCAAAGTGGTATGCTACTGGTACAGGCGATGGAGCTAGAGACTTCTTGTCGGAGCTCTTCGCATAAACCACAGCACTGACGATCTCGGGGAACTCTGAGATTGATGTTGCAATCGAGTTCCACATTTCTGGATCATACGCTGCAGCTGTGTCAGACACTGTAACTCAACGACAAAGCACTTATTATTTGACTTACCAGCAAGACCAACTACATCTTTGGGTTCGCATTTATCGCTGCCTTTGAGAGCTGTTGTGGCCGTCTGCAAAGCCTGCAGTGCGTTTCCTTTCAACGCTCCTTGCTCAATGGCTGCAACGGTATACCCCTCTTCAGCCCATTTTACTGGCAAAGAGGGTACTCCTTCTTCGATAGCGAGCGCTTTGTCAAGGGAGGGCACGAGAAGGATTAGGCCGGGGCCAGTTCCTCGCCGTGAGAGTGGTAGAAGCAGAGAAATGCCCTCCGCCACAGCCTCTAGATGATTTTGAGGCAGAGGCTTGGGAGGCTTGGTGATGTCGGCGTAAGGCATGATTGAGAAGGCTGTGTTCTAATACGGTGTGGTACTTGAAGATAAGGTTGTAAGCCGAGGCGCACTTCAAGTCAGAATGGGTATCAAGTGCAATAAATATTCCCTGTGGTTGACATAAAGCCAACTACGCATGATCGTCCCATGTGGCGATAAGCCTCTCCAACTTATCCCCCAGTACTACTTTCCCGGACCGAGCGCCGGCCGAAATCGAGGTTTAGGTTGCGAAATGACATTCTTGATTCACACTAAATAGCGATGGACAATGCCAACTCCTAGCTAACCTAGCCGCTAGTAAACCAGCTCCATTCGTACGTGCCGCATTGCAAACCTGCGGATGGGGTGGTGCGCGGGCCGAGCACCCACAAAGTGCAAACATCCCGGTCAACGACCCTCCCAATATCCTCAGATAAGCCATCTTCCAATGGCGCTTCACTAAGTTATCTCTTCCGCCGCTGACATGCGGATTTACGGTGTTGCGGTTTTACAGGGTCCTTCTCCTCCTAGAATGATTTCTGGAGGGTCATTTTCCCATCCGAATAATTGCAACATCATACGTCTTTTCGGTTGACATCGTCAAGCGGCAATTGCACCACCGCACCACTTCTCCAAAACATCGACCTTCCAGCGCCAGCGCCCGGCCCCATATTTCCCGTACCCGCTCGGCCTGAACGGGCCCGCCGCTGCCTTCAGTACATTATGGGCCGCCCACCGGTTAGACCGGAGGACCGGAAGCGGTCGGCTAAAGCATGCATCGCGTGCCGCTCCACCAAGAAACGATGCGACGGAGGATCGCCGTGTTTGCCCTGCGTGAATCGGGGCAACGGTGCATCGTGTGAGTACTCTGAACGCGCGAGAACGCGTCGCAGGACGGATCAGCGACAGACTACGCCAGGCAGTTTGGAGAGTCGTAGTGATGGGCCAAGTTCACCGAGACAACGGCGCGCAAAGCCTACATCGCGAAATCGTGATGCCAATTCGAATGCCAGGGACTTGAACAAGTCGAGTGCACCGCCAGGTCCTCGGCCGGTGATGATGCACACATGTAGTGGGGAGAAGGGTAAGATCAAGAAGCCGGTCTTTTGCCCCATTGCGTTCAATTCAATCAACTGACGATAACTTATTTCTCAGTCTTCGTCGGCAATGCCTCAGCTATCTCGTTTCTGCAGTTTCTTAGAGGCAGCCTCAGCAACATCCTCGGTTCCAATGGCTTCACCATCAGCCATAATGGCCATCGCATGTTCGAGGCGCAGGTGCCGCTTCAGCAACCAGACAGCTTCCAGGACGACATGAGCGATGAAGAGAAACTAGAACTTATTCAACTCTTCTCAGATGCCGTGAGTACCTCTCATACGTGTGTTCATCGCAATGGCTAACCTCTACAGTCGAGCGGTCTTTTGGATCTCTTCGACAAGTCCGAGATTGACACGCTCGTGGATGCAACTCATCCACGAGAGAAGAGCGTCAGCAGTTCCAGCACCGGCTTCGCCACAGACATCGAGGGCCGGGTTTGTCTGTACATGATGATTGCCATCGGCGCTCAATGTCGAGGTCGTCCTGAAGACATGCCGAAAGCATTCCAGTACTTTTCGCAAGCGCGAACGCTCTCGTTCCAGGGCTTCTTGACAGATCTCACGCTGAATATGGCGCGGGGGTTCGTTTTGATGGCGTTCTACATGTTTGGTGCCTGCCGTCGCAACGCGGCGTTCATGTATCTCGGGGTCGCGACCAAAGCGGCCTCAGTATTAGGCCTGCACATGTCGGACCAGTTCCAGTCGCTATCGGAAGCGGAGCGAAGCCTGAGGTAAATCTTCTCAGTTTCTACTTTGCCTCTTGGCCCTGACCATCCATCACAGATCCCGTATAGACCGCAGCATTCGACTCTTTGATGTAGTCTGCAGCTCAATTCTCGGAAGGCCGACCAGCAGTCTGCCGCGGCGCAGTAACGGGGGCTCTTCAACAACTCCTGTCGCCGCCAACCATCGAAGCCAGTCGGTCGCAGCAGCCTGCCAGTTCTCCCCAATCATGAATCGAATAGTGGAGAAACTCACGGACAAAGGCCACCTCGGCCTCGTGGTGGCTGAAGACTTCCTAGAGGAGATCCGCGATTGGAGTAGCAACCTACCCTTGGCACTGCGGCAAGGGCTGAGACATGCATCCGCCAGAGCCCGGCCGTCGTCGGACCGAGAGACGACAATCGGCAACATTCACGTCGCTTGCACGTACTACTTTGGGATAATTACGACGACACGAGAGTTTCTCATCCAGCATATCATGCCTCAGATTGATGGTCGAGTCGAGGCGGGGATGGTGACTGACGGTTGTCTTGTGAGTGAAGACAACGAAAAGACGGCGGAGCTGGCCAAAGTCTGCATCGACGCGGCTGCGTACATGGCTGAAATGTGTTCCGACGCACTAGACACCGGCGTGATCATGGGAAACATGTGCATTCTCAAGTGGGTACTACCATTCATATGTCGAAACCGCACCATGCTAATCTTTATAAATCATTAGAGCGTGGCTATTTGCCGCCGGTCTCATTCTTGGCTTCTCGCTTCTTGACCAAGACACAGGAGTAAACAACCGCGCCGCATTTCGCAACACGCTGCGAGTACTGGAGTTCCTTGGACGTCTTAGTCCGCAAGCGGGACAGTATCATCGCGTCCTAACGAGCTTCTCGCACGCTCTAGAGACTTATCGTGGCCATTCTGTACATGGACGCGACAAGACCGCCGCCCCTTATGTCGAACGACTGCTCTCGATCAACACGTCAAGCAGCCCAGAAAGCAGCCGGCACGATGCTGGAACGCGGATCCATGCCAGAGATCACAACTACAACATGCATGCAGGAGCTACAGTTGCGACCGAGAACCTACTCACTTCTCAGCTCGATCTCGGGACACTGGATTTTGGCGGTGAAGATCTGATCTTGAGTCTTCTCTGGGAAGACGACAATGGCCTTGGCTTGGATGGGACAATGGCAATTTAGTGATGTGGGCCTTGGCGTTTGCCAAAATCCCAGCAAACAGAGCTCCAGAGAGCCGCTGGCATAAGCACTTGCGAACTCAAACTAGGGTCATTCGGGAAAAGCGCGCGAGGATCCTAGGGACCAAAAGTCCCATAGCGCGTCTTCGTTCGAGCCCTGAAAGGGCTCGAAAGGAACAGTGACAGCCGACGTGGAGCGGCCGTTTTCAGTGTTCCCTGTCCTATCCCCACACTACCTAGTCAGGGGAACAGGATAAAAAGACGACACGCGCTCTCCAACCATTTTCAAACTTTGCTCGTACGCATCTCACCGCCCACGATACTAAATTGACTCGAAATGCCATATGAGAAGCGATGATGGCGCCTCTCGACCGAGAAACCCCCGCCGTCAGCTGCGCGAAGGCGGCAATCCTCCTTCTCGGCGTTTGCATCCCTTCGGCGATAATCCTCATCTCGACGCCTAAATCTGGCCCCAGCTCCGTGATAAGATACGCTTGGATCGCCGTCGTCCCCTTCATCGCTAGACATTTACTCGTGCAGCTGTCTGGTATAACAACGAGTTATGTTCTCAACACCGTTGCCATGGGACAGCTCTGTCTCGTCCTTCTGCAAAGCTGCAATTTCCTCATCCTCACGCGGCTCGATACCGGTGATTTCGTGAAGGGAAATATTTACCAGCCGTCGGATGGGCTTGTTCACAAACTTCGGGGCGTCATTGGGTTAATGTTCAACTTGCGAGGCATCGGCACGCCATGGCAGATCTCACGTATTAATGCGGCTCCACAGAGCCTCGACAAGCATACCGAGAACGGAAAATTGCGCAAAGGGCCGTGGGTGGCGCGACAGTTGCAGATTATCTTCTGGCAGTACCTCTTTCTCGACTTCACGTATCTTTCGTCCTTGGATACATCACTGGAAGATGCGGAGAAGCTCTTTGGTCCCGGTAAAGAGTTCCTGTGCACCAACGCCAACGCAGAGCAGTGGGGAGCCCGGGTGGCTGTTGGCTTAATCTCCTGGCTAGCCCCGGCTCGAGTGACAATGGACATCGTCTATCGAGTGCTATCAGTAGTTTCTGTCATGAGCGGTACGGCATCTCCGGAGGACTGGCCGCCTCTCTTTGGAAGCATCTGGGATGCATACACGATCCGAGCTTTTTGGAGGTGAGTAGATTTCACACAGTCTCCGCGTTGAAGTCTTGTGACTAAAGCCATGCGTAGCGTCTTTTGGCACCAACACTGTCGTTGGTTTCTCACGTCAGTCAGCAACTATATCTGCCGGGACCTCTTACGCCTTCCTCGACCCTCTCGTCTGGAGCGTTATTTCAATATCGCTCTAGTATTCATGGGTTCGGGCCTAGTCCACGTTATGCTCGACATGTTCTGCTGGGAGCCATCTCTTAAAGCGCCAACATTGGCCTTCTTTGGCTCCTTTGCTGTGGCTATCATGATTGAAGACGGGGTTCAGGAAGTGTGGCGCCGCGTTGCGGGTGCAGAGGATTCTAAGAATGTCCCACTGTGGCACAAGATTGTAGGCTACTTTTGGGTTTCAACATGGCTCACCGTCACCTCCCCATGGTATCTGTATCATGCCGTCCGGCAGCCTGTGGAGGTCAAATGGTTGGTGCCGTTCAGTGTTCTCAGTATGATGGGGCCAGTGGCAGGGAACATCTTGTTGTTAGGTGGCGGCCTCGTGCTGAAATACATGATTGGTGGCCAAATTTAGATCGGTGGAGGAAATGGAAAAAGGAAACATTTGGTGCCTATGAGGACCGGCAAATAAAACCTGCCTAGGCTCGTGATTGGCCAGAACATGCAATTTGCCACCTACGGCTCCTGAATGCGTTGCCTGCTTGGTTGCCTACATTCTTGCCAGGTTTCACAGGCGCCAATTGATGACCGAAAGGGAAGTGCCTGGATGGATGCCTAGGTACCTAGGTGCCTAGCAATGGTCAACAGTGAAATGAGGGAAACAGCGGTGAACAACACCGATGGGCAACATTTTGCATTTCGCCCAGGTTGGGTTGATGTGTTTAAGAGGCTTCATTGGCAATATCTTGAATATACTGATGGTATATGGACTTTCTAAGGTTCCTGCATGCAGAACTAGACTTGATTGGCGGCACCCGTGGAGTCAATCAGAGTCTGGCTTCGTTGCATGGTGGCTGCTTGTGACACGTTGCTTGTCCGACACGATCTGAGATTGCCCCAAAAGCCTTTCCATTGGACTCATGCCCTTTTCAGAGACTGCAACCTTCTCTTCGATCCCAACGCTGCGCTTCCCTCCTAATGCCCGCATGCCCCGCAATATGACTTGTCGATCTTGCTCTTGAATGTGCTTGAGGTAGTCCGCGCCGTGTTGTGGTGCAGCCAAATGCGTCGAAAGATTCTCGGCAGAGAGAGGCTTTAGTTTCGCGTTGGGGTTTTGATGGGTACTGCAGAGGATCATGTCAGTCGCAACGTCCAAGGTCAATGACCATGATGACATAAACTTGTAAGTGTGCGCTGATGTATGTTCACCAACGCTGTTTCCTCCACATGGGGAAAGCCTATGTCAAGGAGCTTTGCAAACACGTACCTCATGTTCGCGTAATATTTGCTTGGCTCAAGGTATTGCGCAGTGATGACCTCGTTCCTCTTAGAGTTTCAAGCCGACAACAGCAAGTTCGGAGGACAATGAATCCATGTCTTTTCGGACCTCAAAATGTCGAAGACATACGGCTTAATTTGTACGTCCTCGCCATGATCAAACGTTCCGTGCAAATTACAAGGTCATCATGTTCCGTCTCGTGGCAGTAGGCAATGCCGAATAACTTCAATGCTGAAGTTGACAGTCATCAGGACACATCTAATCTGAATTTGCAATTTTGCCGCATTTACTCAGATTTGGAGAAGCTGCGATAATACTATTAACCGCCTCCCAAAACCTCACAACAGTTGTCGGGTTCTCTTTTTGCACTCTCAACGCCATAAAATGACGACATCATACGATAGCGGGCGAAATCCAATGCTTCAGCATTTCGCCACGTCCATTTGCCCCACGGGTTGGGACCACTCACACCCGTAGAGTACCAGTCGAAGTTGGTCAGCAGGCTGCGGTTCGGGGCGAGTGGCAACGAATCAAACTGCAAAATGCGACTACTGCACCCCGCGGCCAAAGTACCAGTAAGATTGTCCATAAGCTCCCACAAGCACGCTGCAAGGTATTTCTGCAGTTTCGGGAAATTACAGCTAGACAGCCACGCCACAGACATCGCCACCAAGGAGGGGCTATGGTGTAGGATACGCAGCCCCCTCTTGCGGCGCTGCCGAAACATCGAATTTCAATGCTCACCTTTGATAAGAACCTCTCGGAGCCTCCCGCAGTTCGCGTCTCGTCTCAAGCATTCTCGATCCAAAAAGAACTCTCCCGTATCCCGTGCGCAGCGATCTTTGATTTGAGCCTGCAGCCGTCTACCACATCTCAAGGGCGCTTTCGGACAAGAGAACTCGACAACTCGCAACCTTTGACTCGTGGCACCCACTGGCGCCCTCTGTTCAATGACAAAGCACATGGCATGGCTGCATCGTTCGACTGTTCAACATGACAATCGACTGGGAACCTGTCAAGGCGGACATTCATGATCTCTACCATGTTCGGAACAAGACGCTCGACGATGTCATGAGGATCATGCGTGGGCGGCATGGATTCAGTGCCTCGTAAGTCTGTGCTTTTAGCAACTACAGGCCGGCAATGGGCAATGTACTTACCATGATACTCACAGAGAACGTTCGTACCGCAGCAAGCTACAAGAGTGGGGGCTTAGGAGATATCGTGCCGAATCCAACCCAGCCGCGTCCTTGGGAGCGAGGCCTTTTGGGCGCCGTCGCAGTACAGCTACATCAACAGTTCCGAGGTGATTGATAAATTCTCTTGATTCTCTTAGAAGACTTCATTTCACTCATTCTTCGGAAAGTCTTTCGCGAAGGGTATCGTCTACTTCGAACAGCAGCGGTAGTATCAGCTACGATAGCACAAACTCAACACCATCAGCAATCATTGCCACGCCTGAGTTCTCCTTTAACTTTCCTGATCCATCAAGCGACATCTACACTGGAGAAGATGACAAAACGGAGCTGCACAACGCCATCATTAATCAAGACAGCCAGAAAGTCCAATGTCTTCTCGACCGCGGTACTCCTGTGGATACCAAAGACACTGCTGAGAATGAGCCTCTTCACAACGCCGTTGGTAAAGGGTCTGAAATCATTGTCCATCATTTGATTAGATTCGGCGCTGATGTGAATGCTAGGGGGCACCTTGGACAGTGTCCTCTGCATGCGGCTGTGTCAAACAGTGCCAATCTGGCAATTTTGTTAGAGGCTGGGGCAAAGCCATTGTTGCAAGATCACCATGGAAACACACCCCTTCATACAGCACTACTCCCAGCCGTTGCGGACTCAGACCCCGCATCGATTGCGTCTTCTATCGAAGTCCTGATGCGCTCAGCCTGCGATTTCAATACTCCTAATCACAGCGGGGCAACGTCTTTCCACTTGCTCGTTGAACATCAGCACGCACATACCTCACAATTTTCATCGTGTTTGGAGCACTTTCTTTCCCACGGAGCCGACGTCGCACTAGAACTGCCCAATGGAACTACACCGTTGCAGGCTTACCTGGCCAATATCAGCAGACTCCAAGCAACAGCATCGTTCTTGCATGAGGAACAACATGCCAGCGAGATCCAACTCTTTATAGAGAAAGGGGCACATCCGGAAACACTTCTCCCTTGCGGTACGCCTCTTGTTCCCGGATACTTCAAATATTTGCCAGGCTATCACTCCAATGCGACCTTCGCTCTGTCAGAAGCCCTTTGTAGGGTTGCGAGGCTTTCGCCTATATCAGGAAGCGTCACCACAGCCAGAAACTCTATGTTACATGAGCTGTTGGAGCACCCAATATTATCGAAGCGATCTCCGGTTCGAAACTGTGTGCAGATTTTGCTCCAGCGAGGGGCTGATCCGAATAAACCGAACGCTAAGGGCGCAACTCCATTGCAATTGCTGGTTTCCAACACTGAAAGCCATTCTTCTGCGATCTTAGGGACTGTGGCATGCATGTTGCATCATCATGCAAATCCTTGGTTACGGGACTTGTCAGGCAATAGCGCAATCTCTGTAGCTGCGGCTTCCAAGAAGGCCGGCAAGCTTCTTCCGCTGTTACTGCAATCAGACTTGGAATTCCTCGAAGCAAGTAGTGAATCATGCGAAGACGAAGCCGATTCTCAGTGGCGTGACCGTTGGCCTATGTGGGAACAGGTGGCGGTAGTAGCGAGTTGGGATGAAGCTCTGGGCACAATTGAAGGTTCCGTTAGTTCTTTGAAGGAGCCATGCGCTGGAGTCTTGACCAGGGCTATTCTGAGGGCGTTGGCTGAAAAGCATCTGAGAAAAGCAGACCAAATGTTCAAGGGGGAACTTGAGGAAAGATCAAAGAGACGTAGATATCTCGCACGTATTCTCAGCGATTGTTGGGATAGAAAGATTGACGTCGATGTTCATCATTTCCATGAATTGATTCTACACAGTCGCTGAGTTGCCCGTAACCAGGAGCGGCTTGCGACTTTGGAGTTTCAGAGCGTCATTATTGTTCAATACAAATGAAGTACTCGTAGTCTCGTAGACGCATTCCACCTGACGTGACCTGAGACCTCATGACACTGTGAGACTAACGGTGCGGCAACGTACGCGTCGCAATAGTGGAATGCTCCAGGCCAGATATGAAGCTCAGCCATGTTGCCGGACTGTAGACGGCGAGAAGCAAACGCTACACACTTGTTTTTGAATATTTCTGCTGAGCCCCATCAATACTGAATTTCAATACCGAGGAAATAGTACATTAATGCTTTTGGAAGTGTGGATACCGTATTCCAATGACGGCTTCCGACTATTGGATTGGCATCATGGTCCACGAACCAACCACAGATGAAAAGTGGCCAAGGAGTTCTTGCGGTGGATCATCTTAGACTATCGTAGAACTGGCGAACCGGGTCTCACGGTATTGATGGGCTGACTCGCGACCACTGCAGGACTACTCCGGCTGGAGATTACTTAGTGGTCTGGGAAAGTTTGAAGATATGGCCTAATCTGTTCTATTGTCCTCATTTAAAGTTCGGGCGGGCTTCTCCTGGTGGAGATAACATGGCTATGCAGATACCAAGAAACTTAAGTCTAGTTATTACTGGCCCCTGACGTTTGCGCCTGCTCGCTTATAACAGCCATCCATATTAAGAACTATAAGTAAGTATCACGAAAGCTGCTAAACTCACCGCGGATTTGCTTAACCCCCCTTTGTTGTTCTTCCAGTGTTTCACTATTCAGTCCATTCGAACTATACGAAGTATTGAAAATGTTACAAATAATTCTCTTTTCATCTCTTGTGGTACGTGCTTGGGCACAGGTCACATGCGCTCAAGCTCCCAACCCAAACAGCGAAGAATACGACATAGCGAGTTTCACCCTCAAAGTCGGCCCAAGATATGAGGCTGTATGTGGCGATCATGTATACGTCTACTATGCTCCCCCATCCACTGGGTCCACATCTGGAGTATTACGAATCGCCTCCGACGGTTACGGCCCTAGGTTCATTATTTCGGTTAATGGCCCAGTTCAAGGAAGCGAAACTCCTGTCCGGAACAACGCATTTTGGATCAATAACGGCGACGATTGCAAGACCAATTTCCCCGCCTTTGAACCGAGAAGCGTTTATTGTTACAAAGCCTAGCTTTACTGCCTGCGTGCAAAGACAACATCTGATCGATCTAGCCGCGTGTTCAGCGGCTAAGTGAGAACCTCAGCACTAGAGGGTCATGGGAACAACATGAAATGATTTACGCACAGTTGACCAACCCACTTGGGCGTCGGGCGGCTAGGACTGGACATTTGTACTGCAGAGTCACAGGGACAAAAGGACCGACTCGGAACGGAAGTTTGCATACAGACTGCCTTGAAACAGATTTACCACCATTCCTCTAGTCATTTACGCAATTCTTGTATTTCGCTGTGTTTGTCCAACTGTGAAGGCTACCAAGGAGCGACTGAAGAACATTCTTGATGCAACCTTCGGCGACGATCCATGCATCCAAGAACTCCAAACGCATCTTCCCAAAATCCAGGCACCCCTTCCCAATACTGAATGCAAACTTGACCCGCATGTAATTATCTAGCCGACAAGAGATTCGGGGTGCTCAACATCACCATACCAGTCGCCTTTACAGATTGTTGAACATGTGGCAAACGGGTCTTTTTCAGACGTTTGATGTCGCTGGTAGCAAGGGCTACGTCGATTAGACAGGGGGTGTATATGAGATTCATCTTGGAGGGCTTTAAATTTACAGCCGGTATCATGATGTTCGTGTGAACAGGCACGTTTACCCACAAAAGTCTCATCGTTTTCGACGTTCTATATAGTGCGTCGTCTGCCTCCTTGCAAAGTAAGTTCCCTGCCATGGTTTCGAGTCTCTCCCCTGATCTAAGGAAAGCTGAAACTAGAACGGGGACGGCTTTCACGACTGTGTATTTTCAAGTTGCGTCCTTGATGTGACTGCGCATTGCGGGCGCTGTCATTCGGGCCGTTGACGGCGAGTTCGTGAGTGCTCAATCACGGAGCGGATCTCTATTGATATTGGGTAGTCTTATCCTCGAGGTGGCAAGACTTGTGAAAACAGTATTGGATAAGGTCAAGGTGTGGCGTACTATTCTCGTTCAGGTCATACCTTACCTTACATGCACATCCATGGGCCAGAATGAGGAATTGCAGGCGCCCAGTATTCGGTAGCGCTCCACTTCTGCTGTTCGATTTCCCGTAATGTCGGGTTTGAATGATTATGCGGCGGACTATCATACGACCATCTGATTCAAGTTCTAGATCTACATGCTTGGATCTGAGCAATAAGCAATGCTGATAAAGTATCCTTCCAACCACACTCATGCTATGCAAGTCCGTAACTGAAGATATTGAAAGGAAACAGAATCGTTTGAGTCACCATAGATTACCGGGATACCCACAGCATAGGCGTCTATTTGAGAGCAAAGGATATTGTCTGAAACTTTACCCGCTTATTAGGCCGCTTGCATTCGCCATGCATAAGTCCATGCACATAACATTCCCCGACCAAAGAATACAAACCGTCTTCATTAGGCCGCAGTACAAAAGGCACTCGACCTCCGTCGAACATGCAAATAACATCTCCTTCGCGGGCAGATTCAGGAGCAGAAATGAATCCACCATTATCTGCGATCCCAAAGCGCCGCCCTCGGTGCCAGAACCTGAAGCTTGAGACCACAGCTGCTGCAATCTCCGGTGTCCTCGCAGGGTCGTGTGAGAAGTTTCTGTCAATGCCCTCCCTCACAGCCTGCAGAAGCATCTTACGACGAGTAGTAATTTCGGCCGACGATCCGCTTGGAGGTTGTAGACTTAAATCTGACGGAGCCTCTACCACGCTGTATTTTGGCTCTGCTTTCTTTGATGATTCGACAAATCGATCCCAGAAGTCCGTATGATATGCCCATGATTCTGTTGTCTCGCGGGGAACAGAATTTGTACCTGATATCGTAGCTGTTGTACCGTCTGATCTTTCCTGAATTCGAGTGAAGTTCAAAGCTGTTTTGAGTTCTTCAACATCCCTCTTCAGCTTCTTATGAAGGAAATTATTGAACGATGCTCGAAAAGCATTGCCAAGCTCCTCGTCTGCCATGTACCCCAAGTCTCTCTCAATTGCCATGGTCGTATCACAGATCATGGCTCTCCACGCACCCTCAAATATTTCATTAAGTCGTCTATCTTCCCCAACTCCATGCATCAAGCTAAACACAATCTCCCAATAATCGTGCAGCCACTTCTGCGTGGGGTCAAGGATGTCTTCCGGTGGGATAGATGTATCTGCAAGAAGATGCGACGAATTCGCAGTCAAATGAACGACTTTTCCAACGTACTTCCCCTTCAAGTGAAGCACACGCCCAGCGTGAGAGATTCTGATCGGTGGTAGTCTGATCAGAGGCCTGTCTCGCCAGTTTCTCCACCCCACACACACAGGATTGTGAACATCAGTGTGGAAAAATTGAAGTCTGTCAAGCCGACTGACCTCGTTAGCCTGAAGCACAGTATACCACTCGTCCAAGTAGTTGAAAACGTTATAGGAGTTGTCCTTGCTGTAATTATAGCCATGGGGCAGCTTTTGGAGAGGCGTGAATGCGTCTGGCCGTGTCAGATCGGGAACCCAGCTGGGTAAGCAATCCACGTGGTCTTCGCTCGGCAGCATACGATCGCCCCCAAAAGAGAATATTCCCAAGTTTCGTTTCCGAGTAAGATACCAGACGGCA